GAGGCGTTGTTCAGCAAGGGGTTGGAATGAGTGCATTGTAAAAATTAGGCTGGTCTCTATGTCTCATCTAATCCACAGATCCAAGCTACTTGTGGAGCAAGCAAATCTGACCAGTCTCCACTAGCAGCAAGCCTGGCAACCAATTACAGAAATCAAGCACCCTGCCAGGAAGAAGGGCCAACAGGTACAAAAGTGGCTTTGACTAGGGCAATCTAAACACTGCGCTCCATCTTTTCCTGCCCTAAAGATCCCCTCATAGCGATCTGAGCATGCCACTTACTGGTGCTCACATGGTCATAAGAAATGAGGACATAAGGGTTTGTTTTCAGAGCTCGAGGATGGAAAAAAAAAAAAAAATGCATAGCTGTAGCTGGTGGTTACTGTGGTCTCTACACTCAGTTTCACTCTTAAAATCCAAATTAATTTTCAAATTTAGCTCTATATTTTAGCAAGTTAAATAGTAAAAAGGTACATAGATGTGTTACTTTAATTGCTAAAATCTGGGTTCAAGGGCAGGAGACTGCGGTTGTGTGAAAGCAGTGGTCTCTCTGCAGAGGTTGGACACACTCCCTGTCAAGCTAGATCTCTACAGCAGGGGAGTGTAAAGCAGCCCATAGAGAACGCAAATGTCTTTCCTTAAACAACAGGTGGATGGAAAGAGAATTGCTCGATTCCCACATCAATACAATCATTGTTGATGATGGGGGAATCTCTGCTGCAGTGCTATTGTGTCCTGCCGACGGGGAGCCTTCGGCAGAACACAAGGATTACTGCTGGCTGCTATAGCCGCTGGCAGTGAATACATGGAAAACAAAAAAAAAAAAATCAAGACAGACTGGTTGTACTGAAGTCGATCGATGGACTAACTTCATTATAACCAGCCTACCCATAGATAAATCCAATTGTGGCCATTCTCTGCTGAGATTCGATAAATCTATGGCTGGCTTAATCCTTTCATCCTTTCATTTCGAAAGAAGAGATCGGGACCTTTCCGTGAGTACCGGACATATGCCCTGGGAGCGCGCTCTCGGCACATGTCCTTTAATAGAACGGAAATGTGCGGCCACTCGGCATCTAGGCCCAGACGCCGGGAGGCCGGCGTGAAGAGGTTTAAGAACTCCATGAAAAATGACTTAACCCCACGCAGTGGGGCTGTGCCCGCACTGCATGAGTTAACTGCTCATTTTGTCTAGGGCCGCATCAAGAGGCTTTACTTACCCAATCCTTTGATCTTCTGGAAAACCAAGCTCCCCCATGTCCAGCCGTGGACTGTTCCTGCCGTCCTCACGTCTGAAGCCAGTCTGTGGGCGTGACAACATCAGGAACAGCCCATTCACAAGACCACTAGTGTGCGGGTAACAGGAGTGGCGGGGACCGGTCTTGCACTTGGAGGATCAGCAGATTAGGTAAGTATATCTCTGCTCTGCAATCCCCTAGACAGGTAACCCATGCAGGCACAAAAATTCTGCCTGGAGTCCTTTAAGCTTTACCTAAAGGAAGCCCAAACTGAGTCAGTTGGGGGCATGTTGGACCACTTCATATAGACCGTTGCTTCCACATAGCAGTGGTCCTCTCTGCAGCCTACTGCCCTTGAGCACAGATTTGTACTAAGCATGTGTATCTCTGTATACATTTCGGCATGGTGCCTGTGTGCCGGGAGGAATGAAGACTGGTACCTGGAAGAAACCAGAGAGAAGGAGCTGGTTCCAGTGAGGAAACTTGCAGGCACCAGACTGTTGGAGCCAAGGCAAGTATAGAAAACCTTGTTCTGCTTTAAGGCAATTAAAGTAAAATATCTACACACCATTTTCTTGCACATTTTACCTAAATATTCAGTTAAAAATTAAATTTCAGGTAGGCTTTAAAGACAGGTTTACTTAATTCACTAGGTGGTTAGAAATATTGGTGCCTCTATGCATACATCTAAACAGGTCCACTTTTCCTGGCTGTCCAAAAACATATTGCAAATACCCAATTATTGTGATTGCACAGGTACTTGCTAATTGCACTGTGTTAGTCCATGGCGTCTTAATGGCTTTATACACTGTAAGCAGTGTGACGTGCGCAACATAACAAAAAAACAGAAAAATGGGGGTCACTTTTAAAATTTATTCACAAAAATGATTACCACTGAACAGAGGTTTACTCTAGCAACATGAACGTTAAGAAGTAGAAAGTCATAAATGGAAACCAATGGAAAGGCAGGGTCATTACTCCCATGTGCACCAAGTCTTCAAATATCAGAGGCAAGAGCACTTCAGAAGTTAGGTAACCAAACATATAAATTCTTTCTAAATATATGTCTTAAATGGAAAAAAAAAAATCTTTGTAAAAATAAAATAATGTCAAGCGTCAGACTTTTGCATATTAAAAATTAAAAAAAAAAAGAAATATATTTATATATATTTATAAATCTATAGAAAAAGGTTCTAAGCCAACGCAAAAAAAAAAAAAAATGAATTAAAAAAAAAAAGGCAAAGAAAATATTTTATTAACCTCAAGGCTGAAGAGACAGAGGTTAATACACAGCATTCTAAAAGCAGAATCCCAAATGCTGAGGGGGACAGTATGAAAACAAACAAAAAACACATGACCCCGTGCAAAAGTCTATCAAATAAAAGCTCTTTGTAAAAGGGATGCTTCAAGGGGAGAGGAGGTGCAGGAACGTGGTCTTTGTAGGCACTTCTGTCTTGGTTATGTTCTTCCATGAAAAGAATCTAGAGAGAAAAAAGGAAAGAGTGATGAACAGAACGTACTCATACTGTACATCCCCTTGGTTATAGCTTCAATCATTTTCACTGCATTTGGCTGGTAGTCAGATCAGCAGATATCTAGATATCACCTGATCTCCGACCAATCATTAAAAAGTCATATGTCAAATTGGTATTCCCCAAGCATCACCTCAGCACTTTCATGGGCTAGGAAGGAGTCTGCTCTCTAGACACCCAATGCCAACCATCTTGGGAAAAGCCTGGAAAATCCATGCCGAGTGGCCAGGTATTGCTACCCAAGCACAAAATGTCATTAGCCTAAACCAGGGGTGGGCAACGGTGGCCCTTCAGCTGTTGTAGAACTAAAAGTCCCATGAGGCATTGCAAAACTGACAGTTACAAGGATGACTCCCAAAGGCAGAGGCATGATGGGACTTTTCGTTCACCAACAGCTGGAGGGCCACAGTTGCCCAAACCAACTGAAACAGCAGAACAATCAGCTAGCTAACTTCAATAAATACTTTCGTTTACTAAGAAAATTGAAAGTGACTGCCATGAGAGACATATAGGGGTTGCCATTAAAATCTTCCAACTGAAAAGTCTACATGCCCTGCTATGTCCAACTTCAGTACTTTGATTTGCAGACCCAGAAAAAACACGATGAATAAGTGTCCAAACTCCTTATCTCTATACCAGTTCCAGGTCAGCTACTCGGGACTAAGAAATGAAAATGGCAGTCAGGCACTTGCAGATTAAAAAGTTCAACAACACGGCTACCTTCGAGGCGGCATATGAGGTGCTGCTCTGTCAGTACTGGTTTCCAGCCAGCATTGACCATGCAAACCCATCCTACAATGACTGCTGCTTTCAGGGTTGGGGCCAGCGTGGGAATATCTTGCATACTTGGTAGACAGGTCCTAAATTAGTCCGGTTCTGGTCCCATGTATTTGGCCTCCTCTTTACTTTATTCAACTTACCTATACGTAGAGAGAGACAAAGTTTGTTCTACTACATTGCCCCATACTGGGTTTATATGCTCATCCATGGAGGTTTGCCTCCTACCTTTTCTTGTCAGCCATCAGAATGATAGCCCAAGCTGGAAAAACCATCTGTCCCCTTTCCACAGGTGAGAGATCGTATGACTACCCTGATGATCAATGAGCAGTTGTCTAGTATTAAGGTGTGGGAACCATGGCTGATGCATGCCTTCCCCACTCTTCCCCAAACCAGTTTGGGCTTATTCTGACGGGCAGTCCCATTGTTCCAAAGACCTTGTCCTCCTATCTCCTGCCTTCTGGCCCCTGGGCCAACATTTTTCTTTTTCTGTCCTGTCCTTTTTTTTTCTACCTTAACAGGTATGCACTCCTTTTATCCTTTAGTCTTGCTTCTTTTAAGTTTGGGCTCATTTACAATTTACCTTACTCTCCTCTATCTGCATGAGCTGCGGATGGTGACTCCACATGGGGTGTGGAGGGCCCCAGGGAACTCCCTGCCATTATGAGGTGGTCCCTCCGGTCTTCTACTCTTTGAACCCTATGAGGTGTGTTGCATGTGTCAGTTTCCGACTGCTTCCCAATGCCTCTGTTTTGCCATCTGACTGCTTCCCAATGCCTGTTTTGCCATCTTGGCCTCCATGTATGCCTATTCCTGTTATGAATGTCATTGCTAGCCCCTGTGTGGGCAGACCAATTGCCTGCTCATTACTTGTTAAAACCAATAAACATTGAAATAGAAAAAAGCAAGGTCAACAATGGCAGCCGCCATTAATCTTCCATGACAGATCCCCAGGTAACACATGAATCTCAAATGCCGGTAGTTGGTTTTACCTTGTGCTTGTGGATTTAAGCCATCATGTTATTATCAGCATACATCCGCCCTCCATGGTCACTGTACCCATCCATTGCATACTCTGGCTCCAGATCACCCCATATGATCAAGAGGGATTTCATCATGATACATGGGACGGTAATTGTCATCTGTGGAGAAACACTACGTTTTAGTTCCCAGAGCATCTTCAAAAATAAATGCTGCACAAGAGATTTGTTCAAAAGCTAAAATCATTGGTCATCCAAAAGGAGTTTTTCATTTCCATGCTCACAGTTGCTCTAGTCTAACAGGATCTGCATTCAAAGAGTTCAGCTAATTTCAGAACCCATTTTAAAAAAAGCAAGGTGTCATTTTATTATATTGAACCCTGTCCTTACTCTGATACAATAGTTACTCTACACAAGTATCTAATAAATCCATAAAATAATAAAAGGTATGGAAAACTTGGATCAATACTCACCATCAGCGTAAGGTTCGCCAATGGGGATCATGCTCTGTGCCTAGAAAAACCATATTGCAAAAATTAGATCTGCAGACCAAAACAAAAAGGGTAAAGCAGAGATGACAAAGCTGGAGGATCATTAGGAAAGCAAGATAGGAACTTACGGCTTCCCACGCTGCGGGGTCCTGGCGGAAGATGGCATTGGTCAGCTCCACAGACACTCTCTTCCTGTAGTCAGGGTTCTTGTCCTCGGAGATACGGAACAGAACGGCGGCAGCATAGGTAGCTGAGCGATGAGAAAACACACAATTTGACTGGAATCAACCCTAACAGTTTATTGCATGAAAAACATACCTAACACAGCTATGGGATATTGGAACAGTATGTATAGCTGAAATTTTTATTTTTGTTTTGTATAGAGTAGGGAAGGGTTGGTTCCTCTTAGATTTTTACTGATGTCTATGTTCCTGCTAAGGAGATTCTCCTGATCTTTGGCCGTTGTCGTTGAGACTGAAGATCATGGGAAAAAAAAATCAAACATTTCGCAAATGTCACCAGAGCATGAGATGATATAAATCTCCCAAGGAGGACACCTGAATCAGTGACAACTAGCCAAGTGTGGCATTTCCCTATCGTTATTCAGAGTTCAAGATGTTACTTTCCTGATAGACACGAAACAAGGCTTCTACTAGCTCCTGTACACAATGGAGGAAGGACTGTGTGATACGGGTCCCATGCCTCCCTTTCATCAGTAATCACAGGCAAGTTCTGTAGAGACTTGTATGGTTTAGGTCACGGGTATCAAACTGGCAGCCCTCCAGCTGATGCCAAACTACAAGTCCCATGAGGCATTGCAAGATTGACAGTTACAAGCATGACTTCCAAAGGTAGAGGCATGATGGGACTTGTAGTTTTGTACCAGCTGGAGGGCCGCCAGTTTGACACCTCTGGTTTAGGTTATACCTGTGTAATAGAGGTAGAACACGTAATCCAAATCACTGTACTAGCATCTACAAGGTCAGGGAGTACCGTGTAGTCAGGGAGGTGGGACACAGCAGGGCTTACTGACAAGAGACATTTGTAGCAGTACCTCATTTTACATAAAGTCTCAACTGTATAATATAGATGACTAAAATATCCTAGTTTTCAAATTTAAATTGAATTCAAGCAGGCATAGGTGTGAGCTGGAATACACGATTATCACACAAATATGGAGGATCACAGTATACCCAATATTTTAACTGAAAAGTATCCTTCTTTTAGCTCCAGTAACAAAGAACTTCAATGTCCCACATACTACAAGAAGTAAAAATAAAAGCTTTTTTTTTTTTTTTTTTTTTAACTGCACAGCACATAGATACAAACCACTGCTCGGCAAAAGTACAGCAGTTTGACACACCTGGCAGCGTTCCAAATAAAACACAAGGTTTCAACTGGGCTTAAAAAGGCTGACTTCATCTTTTGAACCAGGTTACACTTGTATTTAGGGTGTAACATGGTGCAAATGGAGCCCTCAAACTGACCCCCTCCCCGTGACCATGTGCGGGGTATCTTTCCCTCATGGCATTGGTTACTTTTAACATTTGTGCAACTGTGCATGGCTCTGACTGCACAGCTCTGCCATTCATTTACAGAGATCTGTGAATAAACTACAAGTCCTGTCTTCCACCACAGCAGACAGAATTGTAGTTCTCAATGGCACATGAGTGGGCAGTGTCCACGCCACTCATATAGTCCACGCCACAATCTCCAGTTAAAAGTCCTGAAAGTCTGTACCTCCGTAAAGACAAGGAGCTGCAGTCTGCAGGATCCTGGCATTGCACCTCTGATCACAATTGAAATGCTTCACAAAAAAAAGTAATAGATTAAAGGTTGCTTCGGCAAACAGTGTTTTTTTTTTTTTTTTTTTTTGTTAAAAAGGTGGGCTTAGCCTTCAAAAAGTTAATGCCACATCCTTCTATGAAGGTAAGATTCTCATAAAAGGTCCATACACAGAACCAGATCTTCAAGACATGGGAGTAGTCGAAAAAGGCTTCCTAGATTTTATGGAATAACAGACTGTAGGCACCAACCAGCAAAAGGTGCCAAAGGAGCCTGCAAATGTAAATGCCTCCATGGAGTGTGCACAGCCATTACACATTCCCAAGTAGCAGTTTAACATATAAAATAATTGTCTGTGATGATTATTTGTCATTGGTGCTTTTGGGGCCCTTCTTTGAGAACAGGGGAACCTATACCTTTATTATCATAAGTATGGCCCTGTTAGGCCTTGATATGTTCCGGTTTATGCTTTGAACATGGTATATGATGGGTGCGTCCATTATTGTGATGATTGACCTGCTCATAGGGTGCGCCTTTAGGAAATAAAATTGCCACTGATGACTATGTAATCTGCCCTTCTACTTACAGGAGAAGCTCACTTGTGTTCCTTATTCTTTTTGTAAAAGCAACTTTTATGGAGCATTTGCTTTGTATTGTTTGAAAAACTTTAATAAAAAAGGGAAATTGTCTATATGGTGTTCATCTTACCTGTGCCCTCATTATGGGAATGCAGGAGTTCCATCAGAGGAGCAGATGCACCCTCAGCATCAATGGTGTCGGCTGCTTCTTTATCCTGAGCAAGCTCACAGAGCACTCCGGCTGCCACTCGCTGAATGTTCTCCACTGGGGAATACAGGAGCTGTCCAAACACAAAACAGCAAGTTACTGACAATGCCAACATCGTGAGACTCTGGGGCTGCTGTGCTGGATGGACTCCTGCAGCACCATCTGCTGCCATATCTTGGTGAATAAATGGATTCTATATGCTGCTGGGGTCTCAAAGTCTTCCAGAGGTCATTGCTGTAAGCGAAGTTTACACAGTGGCTAAGTGGTTAGCACTCCCACCTAGCAGAACTAAGGTCGATCGTTCAAATCCCAACACGGCACTTCCTGCCTGGAGTTTGCATGTTCTCCCTGTGCGGGTCTCCTCCAATTACTCCGGTTTCCTCCCACAGTCCAAAGACATGCCGGTAGGCTAACTGGCTCCTGTCTAAATTAACCCTAGTATGTGTATGAATGCAAGTTCGGGAACTTAGACTGTAAGCTATTCGAGGGCAGGGCCTGACGTGAATGTACAATATAGATGTAAAGCCCTGCATAAATCAATGGTGCTAAGAAGTACCTGTAATAAATTGCATAAGATGGAGCCATTGAGAAGGCCATGCAAGGCTGCTTGTACATGGCCTAGCAATGGAGCATCCCTTAAACAAACTGGGCACTGTAATGACCAAGGTCATTCATTGGTCTAGTGCAGTTTTTCTCGACCTTTTTTCAGTCAACACACCCTTTAAAATTATGGACAATCCCGAGGCACCCAATTCTAAAATGGGGTGCCTCAGGACTGTCCATAATTTTAAAAGAAAAACCCCATTCTAAAATGTGAAAAACTATTCTAACAGTTTTATATAACTCAGCAACATCTACACATGTAGGACACCCAACATTAGAGGTGATTTAATCTTCCAAAGCAAAATACACTTTTGCACACTGGTACTGACTAGTATTCCAATGTTTCTCTTCTCCCTCAGTTTTTCTCCATCACTGAGCTAATGTGACCCTAGCACTGATGGAGAGGGCAGGGGAGGGTCAAACCAGGATGCTGTGTGGGCAGCTGACATCCTCCTTATCAACTGATGAGGTCATTGGTTGTCAGGATGCCGGCGGCTAGATGGTGGTAATGGTGCACAATGAAAACCTATGGCTTTGTGTAACTAGAAGGCAGGCTTGTTCCAACTGCTGGCTTGTCTACAAGTTTTGGGCAGTTTTTAGACATTTTGCCAAGGCACCCCTGAAGAAACCTCAAGGCACCCCTGAAGAAACCTCAAGGCACCCCTGAAGAAACCTCAAGGCACCCTGGTTGAGAAAGGCTGGTCTAGTTTTTGTGAAAACACAGCTTTTGTGTTTTCTCCTCCGACTATTGTTTAAGAAGCAGCTTGGAAGGATGAGAACTGCAAAGTTTCAATTCTGTACTGGATCCTATGAAGCATAGCACATTGCCTTTTACTGCAGCATTTGCTTTACACTTTGATAAACGGCGAGTCTTATCGAGCAAGCCAATACGAAGAAAAACAAAACCAGCTTGAAAACTAGTCCAATGCAAACCAAGTTCCCCAAGGCATGCCAAGTTTGACCTGCTTGGGAAGCCCATGAACACTAGGCCTTAGTATCCTATGACCGAAAATGGATTGCCATTTCCAAAAGACGACATATCCAAGTGGTACTGAACCTTTGTCAGGAGCGAAGAAAATTTGGTTCTAGCTTGGCTGCTCACATAAAGCAAGAATTTCTCCCCAAAGGGTATTAAATAACCCAAGCAAAGGAATACAACAAGCACGCCAAGCCAATTAAGAATCCAAAATACTTTAAAGCCAAGGAGTTTCAGGAGCCAGAAACTCCCCTTCATCAGAGTTAAAACATTAAAAAGCTTATATGGATTCAAAATGAAACTCTTTAGCAAACAATACATATTCAGATATATAATGAATCCCCAGTCTGAAGTTTTGCCAAAGTTCATGTCTGTATGCTGGATCTGTGGGCAACCCCACCATCCATTACAGCTTACAGAACAAAGAGCGCGGCAGGTCCGTTTCAAGGCCACAAAGAACTCAATGCAGAAAGATCACGCAGCACTATCTACTATATTGATTCCCCAACCAATCGCTGATAAATCATTTTCCTCAACAGTGCAGCCTGCCCATCACTACACCGGAAATACGGATCAAGTTAATGGAACAATTAGTTGCACAAATGACTAATTAATGAGGCTGTGTGTTTCCAGCTCAGGACTTCCACGCAAATCAATGATGGCGTGCAGGATCCAGCTCTGGAATGTCCAGGGACTGCTGGTAAAGTGAGCACTCTCTGCAGCAGACCTGTGAGATACGTCAGCATATATTACAGACAGATAGGCTAGTGGTGAGCCCTAATGATGGTTATAAAACCAAGGTCAGAAACAGGTTACCCAAAGGCCGCTGCAGTGACTGACAATGCAGAAACTGTTCCGTGCCAAGATATTTTGCAGTGTATGCTGGGGAGCTCATTACGGTCACTCTAAAAATAAAATGCATATCCTAGATGTGATCCCAAAATCTGCAACAGGGGTTCAAGTGATTCTCCTAGATTGTAAGCTCCCAGGATCAGGGCCTTCCTAACCAGGGGCAGACTGACAACTCATGGGGCCCCCGGGCAATAGGGGATCATGGGGCCCCTGTGTCCTTGCCCAAACTCAAAAAAGCCTATGAAAAAAGGTACCAGGGGCATCTAATGGGGCCCCCTACTGACCCCGGGCCCTCCGGCAGTGCCCGAGTTTCCAAATGGTCAGTCTGCCCCTGTTCCTAACCCTCTTTTATTGAACTGCATTGTTGCTGTATTGTCTCCTGTTATATTGTAAAGCGCTGAGCAAACTGTTGGCGCTATATAAATCCTGTATAATAATAATAATTCTAAAGGCTGTCATTTAAAAAATAAACATGTCATACCTGCTCTGTGCAATGGTTTTGTACAGAACAGCCCTGATCAGCTTCCTTTTGGATCCCCTGCTGGCAGTCCTGGCTCCTTTCCTCTGCCGAGTACCCCCAGTAGCAAGCCTCTTGCTCACTCCCAAGAGGTTCTGTGAATTGTCCATTCGCATGATGCAGAGCATGGCTCGGCCACGTCGTCCCCCCCTCTCCTCATTGACTCACTGGCTGTGACTGACAGCAGCAGGAGCCAATGGCTCCAGGGGCTCAGTGAGCCAAAGAGGCAAGAGAGACCAAGGAGAGCCACTGCTCTCATGCACATCACTGGATTGAGATGGGAAACAGGTAAGTATAGGGAGGGAGCGGCACCCAGATGCTTTTTTTTACCTTAGTGCATAGAATGCATTAAGGTAAAAACCTTCTGCCTTTAAGTAAACATTTAATTTATATACATTGAAATGGCTAGCCTCTTTTAGGGGAAAAAAATGGCTTCCTGGCTGTCACACTGGTTCTCATATGTCAAGGTGAGAGAAGAAATTCAGCCATACAAGACCAGGCAATGCATTAGACAAGGTGACATTTCCAGATTCTCCCAAAAATGAAAGTCTGAATCATTAACAAGGGCCTACATAGGGTGTGCAGCAGCCAGCCTTACCTGTACAAACAAAGGGGATGGTGTTGAGCTTGTAGATCTCCATGCGGTTCATGGGGTCCCTTGCCAGGATATGAAGAGCTCCAGTGCAGCCTTCCACAATCTCTTCCATTCTGACACCATCCTGAAGAAACAGAAGGAAAAGTTTTGCAAACAAACTAATGCTGGTCATGGATTGCCCATGTAAGATCGAATCTACAGATTAGCCTTTTTTCAACTTTTTAAACCCGGGGTAACCCTTGCAATACATTTTTCTTGTTTTCGGGAACCCTTACTAAAAAAGGACCATAGCTACAGCTTACAGTACATTAGTGTGATGGTTGTTAGGAAGAATGCTCATTACATTTGTGGTCACCGAGAAGAATCCCCCCTTACAGATAGTTGTCAGTGGTTACTCACCTGAGAAGCAGAAGTTCCCCTTTCCCCAGGAACCCCTAAAAACCTCTAGGCCACAGGTGTCAAACACAAGGTCCACAGGCCAAATCATTTCCTGTGGTCCTTGCACCTCTCCTGCAGGTACCCCCTGGTCTCTGCCCCCACCTTGTCTCAGCAGTCAGCAGCAGCAGAGAGAATAGAACTCCTCTGCCAAAATCCTGCACCTTTCAGTGCAGCTGCAGCACCCCCTCATCTCTGCCTCCCCTGGTCTCAGCATTCAGCAGACTCTGGTAACTGTCTCCACTCCTCCTCTAGTCCTCCTCCAGACCCTGCACTTTCTGCTTTCCAGCTCTGCCCCCAAATGGCATGCATGCTGATGTTAGGGAGGGTGTGGGATTCTTGACATCTGATGTAATGGGGGGTGGGGTGCTCTGAACATCTAGTCTTACAGATACAACCGGCCCTTTGAGGGCACCCATAATGCTGATACGTCCCACGATGAAATGGAGTTTGACACCCCTGCTTTAGACGAACCCAAGGCATTAGCTCAATGATTTGAAAACTAGCACATATGGTGCATAATTGAACGGATGAGTGCAAGATGCTACATTCATGTTTCAGGGCCAGTTCACACCAGGAATCGTACAGAACACGCCGTATGTTGCTGTGTGATTCACGTATAGTTCTGTGCGGTGCGACTCTTAGATTGTAAGCTCCAAGGAGCAGGGCCTCCTAACCCTCTTGTATTGAACTGTATTGTTGCTGTATTGTCTCCCTTTATATTGTAAAGCGCTGAGCAAACTGTTGGTGCTATATAAATCCTGTATAATAATAATAATAATAATAATAATAATATATAAATCCTGAATAATAATAATAATAATATATAAATCCTGTATAATAATAATAATATTATATGTTCACTTATTTTTGATGTGTTTGCTCATAAATATACTTTTTGTATGTGTGTTTTTTTGGCACTATTGTATTTAATTGATCCCACATTTAGGGATCCATTTTATGTCACCATTTACTTTTTGGCTTAATTTAGCTATTTGTCACGATCTGCATGATATTGTTGATCCGTGTTAGGGGTTCACATTCTCATTTTCACCATCATTTGCATGAATTTATTAATCCCAATTTAGGGATTCACGCTTACTTGCGTTTTATTTTGTGTATGATCCTACTTTGGATAGTGGGGGTATTGGTTCCTGGTTTTTTATACCAGGTGTGATCACTTTTTCACTTGAGATCCCCGAAGAGGATCAATCCACTGATTTATTGGCACGTATATATATTTTATGTCACTTTATATTGAGATCCCCAGAGAGGATCAATCCACTGATTTATTGGCACGTATATATATTTTATGTCACTTTATATTGAGATCCCCAGAGAGGATCAATCCACTGATTTATTGGCACGTATATATATTTTATGTCACTTTATATTGAGATCCCCAGAGAGGATCAATCCACTGATTTATTGGCACGTATATATATTTTATGTCACTTTATATTGAGATCCCCAGAGAGGATCAATCCACTGATTTATTGGCACGTATATATATTTTATGTCACTTTATATTGAGATCCCCAGAGAGGATCAATCCACTGATTTATTGGCACGTACAGTATATATATTTTATGTCACTTTATATTGAGATCCCCAGAGGGGATCAATCCACTGATTTTTTTGTCACATATATATTTTTGTCACTTTGTTTTTGCCATATTGTATTATTTTATTATTAGGGTAGCGCTGCATCATTTTGGTTTTTGTTAATCTAATAATTTCAACCTATTCATTTTAAAACGAGCTGAAAATGCACCGCAAAGAAAAAAAAAACAAAAAAACATGTATGCACTACTTTTGCAAGCTCACAGCAACCACATTGTACCATGCGATCCTGTGCAGGAAAAATCACTGTTTGCAACTTGCATTTGAGGGGTCAACCTTATATCGACACCCGCTACAGATCACAACTGCAATGTGTTTTGAATGTAGTGTGGGAAACGTGCACGGAATTCGGGTTTCCTGCGCCGCATTCGGGTGTGAACTGGCCTTCAATCTATTTCATGCCATAATACACGTCCCACTGTGGGCACTCGCATAGATTAGAATGGAACCACAATGACACAGCATGCAGCTTCCACATATATGCAATTATAAATACAGGTCTCAGAATACATTTGCAAAGATTACGCAGTCTTCTTTCCCATTTAGCAGGGCTGAGTGAACAAAAATGCCAGCATAATTGCGGATAAGAAAAAGCTGCTTTATTCCAAATATGAAATTATAAAGTATTTGTAGATAAGTAAATGATATTTGAACATGTAGATTATTAAATGAATAAAATGACCAATAACCTGCAGAAATGAGCTTTACTCACATTCTATTACAAAGTAACACGCCGTTCATGTTACCCATTGGCCTACTGCAGACTAGTACCACCTGACTGTCTCTGCATCTGGAATGATCAGCGACTAATAGGACAGATTGCCAAACTGGAAGGCTATTCTGTCCCTGAGGCCAGCAATTCAATGGGCTGCTGTGCTGCCAGCTTACCAATCTAGAGAGCCATCATCTACCTAACAGATCATTTACTGCTAAATGGGAACATTTCAGCTGTCACTGAAACCTGATAGATAAAAATCTGGCCGGCTATTCAACTCTGTCACCATGGTGACACTGTATTACTTGTGGGGGTGATGATTTTTTTTTGTTTTTACACCGATTGCTTTTACACTCATAAAAGGCTGTAAAAAACAATCATTTCTCCTGTCTGGCTGCATTCCTGCAGCCATTGAGAAATACCATGAGAGCTGTGATTGGTCACAGCTTATCACATGGTACAAGGCTATTGTGAATGGCCTTGTACCATGTGACCTCTGATCATTCACAGAATTCACAAGTAGTAATCAATGAGGTCTTGTTTACTACTGTTCATGTGATCACCGATTGGCCAATCAGTGATTCACATGAATCGGGACCTCACACAGTGGCCCCATTCAGCGATCGGTGTTCCGCTGTGTCAACCAGACTGCGGCACTGCACACTCCTAGGGAGCACGAACAGGCAATGGATGTGGGGAGACATTTAGAAATGTCCCCACACATCGGCAATGCTGCCGTCTGGCCGTGCTGATAAAAGGCCGAACGGGAGCATTGCCGATGTGGGGGGACGTTTCTAAACGGTTAAAGGGTTACTAAACCCACAACAGTAAAATCAGTTTGTATATGGAATAAAGCAGGGGTGTCAAACTGGCGACCCTCCAGCTGTTGCGAAACTACAAGTCCCATCATGCCTCTGCCTTTGGGAGTCATGCTTGTAACTGTCAATCTTGCAATGCCTCATGGGACTTGTAGTTTGGCAACAGGTGGAGGGCTGCCAGTTTGACACCTGTGCAGTAAAGCATGCCTGTAATAATTAACCTAAGGGGTTAATTCTCTGCACTGTGTAAAAAGGCAGTTTGATCCTGATGTCTCTGCTCCTCTTTTTCAAATGTCCACGTCTTATCTCCTGATAAGACAGACTGAACCGTAGCTATTCTGCACATGCTCAGTTTAGTGTGTATTGCTAGAGGGTTTTTTTTTTTTTTGGGGGAGTGTGCAAGTGATCAGCACAGAGCCAATCAGCACTGTCCAGAGGTCAGGGGTTTTGCATCCTCCTTGAGCAGAAAGAAAACTCCTACAAGCTATAACCAATGCTCTGCTGGACACTGATAGAAGTCACAAGACTGCTCTAACTGCTGATGAGAAAAGGTATTTAGCAGTTTATATTTACCAAAATAATTGCATTTCCATGTTGTGTGTACTGTGGGAGACCGGCTATAGTGAATGCAGGGTCCGGGGGGAGACCGGCTATAGTGAATGCAGGGTCCGGGGGGAGACCGGCTATAGTGAATGCAGGGTCCGGGGGGGGGGAGACCGGCTATAGTGAATGCAGGGTCCGGGGGGAGACCGGCTATAGTGAATGCAGGGTCCGGGGGGAGACCGGCTATAGTGAATGCAGGGGTCCGGGGGGAGACCGGCTATAGTGAATGCAGGGTCCGGGGGAGACCGGCTATAGTGAATGCAGGGTCCGGGGGGAGACCGGCTATAGTGAATGCAGGGTCCGGGGGGGAGACCGGCTATAGTGAATGCTGGGTCCGGGGGAGACCGGCTATAGTGAATGCAGGGTCCCACACAGAATATTGTCTAAAAGCGAAGAGTAGGTGAAATGACATTGACCTAATGGCCCCATGTATACAATCTTACTTTATTGCTGGCAGCGAGATCCTTCCTAAAAATGAGTCTGTATTGCATCTCAGCGCATACGGACACACAAACGCTTGCGTCTGCATACAGTCTGCGCCTGTGCAGATTTTACACATCGTTTACACCCTGAATGAAACATTTATGTGGTGGTGGCACAACATGACCTTGGCTACAGTCAGTCATTCTGACTAATAATGTATAAATTCAAAGTGGTGGTGTATGTGCAAAACGACCCCAGCCCAGGTCATTCTGCCCCTGCGACTGCAGATTACACATTACTGATGTTTACATGTCAGCCCTGAGCAGCATGGACCGTATAAAGGGTCAATTTATGATGTGCGCATGTAAACATTAGCACAGACAAATGCATACACAGTGTAAAATACAGTCCAAGCTCCGCCATGAATGCAGGATTTTCTAATTTTGGTTTAACCTCTTCCCGTCCGGCCCATGTCAATAAACGGCTGGACAGGAGTGCTGCCAATGCGGGTGGATGGTTCTAAAATGTCCCCCCGCATCCCTTGGAGCGCACAGCACCGCGATCGGTGCCTGCTGTGTCCGGAGGACACAGCGGAACACCGATCACTGTAAGGGAGGTCCCGATTCATGTGATCAGTGATTGGCCAATCAGTGATGACATGAACAGTAGTAAATAAGATGTCACTTCCTGACATCATTGTCACGCTGTGTGTGAGGTCCCGATTCATGTGATCACTGATTGGCCAATCAGTGATCACATGGACAGTAAACAAGATGTCACTTGCTGATATCATTGCTTACTACGTGTGAAATCTGTGAATGATCACCGAGGTCACATGGTACAAAACTATTCACAACAGCCTTGTACAATGTGACAAGCTGTGACCAATCACAGCTTGCACAGTATTTCTCAATGGCTGCTGGGCTTACGCGTTTCGTACTATAGTCCCGAGTCATGGCTCTAAGACTACACATCGAAACGCGTAAGCCTCTTATTTTGCACCACACCTGTCAAAATGAACTTTATAACTACGGAAAATCGAGCTGTCGGCTCTTTCATTACATATGCTTGTTCGGGTCCCGGGAAGACACTAAGCCAGTGCACAGACTGCTCATCACCATGGGGAATCCTACCAGGTGTCTTCACCCCAATGCTTGGCACTGGCAGCCGACACAAAAAATGAACACGCTAGCTTTTGTACCACAAAACATGAACTTGGATGGAAGCAGTCACTGTTTGCATCGCTGTCTCACCGTGTATGGCTGTTGGGTTCCAGAAGCTGCGTGCCGTTGTGCATCCTGGTGCGCTTTAACAAGCAGCTGGACCAGACGGGGGATGACGCCAGCATCATGCAGTGGGGCATGGTTGGCAGGGCACAATGCCAGGTTTCGGATCAATCCAATGGTTGCCTGTTAAGAAAAAAAAAACAAATACAAAAAAAAAAAAATATATTAGAATATATATAAATAAATAAAAAGAAAGGCTCCACTGTTATGAGGATAAGACAGGCCTGAACAAACACCTGGACCAAAATCGGTTACCCAGCCAATGCACCCAAATCGGTTACAGCCAGCACCGACTTTTTGGAGCTTTTATGTCAATGAGACCCCTGGAGAGCAAAATACACGCTGCAAAGGATGCAAGTAGAAGAGCCTGTTACCTTTTAGGGTCCACTCTGCATAAGGGTGCGATAAGTAGTACGTTAGGAGCACATTGTGAAGACAACCTCTTCCATGGGCTAATAGCTGAGCCAGCCCCACAAGCATTTATGAGGTTTGGTAGCATCTACAGAATCCTGCCCTAAAGAATGCTACCCCAATATTTCAAATGTCTGATATGTATCTGTTACACATACTTGGGTTAAAAAGTATCCTGTACTCTTTGTGCAAAATCCTTGGTGATCCTGCCAGTCCCTCTGCTTTCCTTTTTAAAACTGACCACAGTAGGCAGGAAAGCACACGTGGTCAGGTTTCTGGCTGTGCTGGGAATACAGCTTGCCTGTCCTCCAATGGTCAAATTTGTGATGAGTGTTTTTCAGATTTTGCTCCTCTTTCTGAATTACTAGAAGACTCGAGGATAGCAAAGTCCATCATTACCCTCTAAAACTGGACTTATTATTGCAGTACAAGAACTCTTTCAAAATGTCCGCTGGCTACTAGTGTGGAACAATCAACAATCATTCCTTGTAAAATGGTTTCATTCCTGGAGTAAGGAAGGACACTAAATAACATGATCAGATACATTTACAAAAAAAGAACAGTTTCCTACCTTGACCAGTGGCCACTGGTATGGTTGGCCAATCAGCTTGACGATGGCCGGGATGCCATAGTGAAGTCGCACAGAGTTCTGAGCCACCTCTGCATCGGGGTGACGGCTGGTGAGATGGCGCAAGGCACAGACTGCTGGCTCTGCGATGTCATCTTTGTCGCTCGCTCTCAGGATGGTGTGAATGAGAGACTCCACTCCGTTGCTTTGGGTCACCAGGGTTTTGTTGCGGCTGTTGTTGCAGGTCAAGTTGGAGAGAGTGCCGGTGGCACAAGTGAGGACGTTCACATCGTCTGAGCTTAGCTGGTTCACCAGAATCTTCAGCACGTTGTCTAGGCCTTCCTACAAAACATAAAAAAAATCTTGTATTAACACACTGGAAATTGCTTAGCCACCTACTATGGTGGCACAGTAAGGTTAAAAAAAAAAAAAAGAAAAAAAAAAAAAAAAAGGGAGAGGAGTGCTTGCTTTGACTCATTTGTTCAGTGTGTGAATTTCAGCTTTAGCTATTGAGTTCTGTAATCAGGCTTTTTAGCAAAACAAGGCAGCACAGCCTGGAAAAAAGGTACCTAGAACCCCACGATCCTGGTATTAAATGAGCAACATATATAGAAGAAAAAAAAAAACAAACTACAAAAGCTCTTTATGTCCGGTCATTTTCACATGACTGCACAATACTCTAATCATGATCCCTACAAGATGCAGCTACATCCTAGCTGTGTAGCTTACGCCATAAAGAAGCCAATTGTTTCAGCTAACTAGCGGTCATTCTCTACTCTTCGTAATAGTTCGTGATCTTGGTTCCAAGACTGAGCAACTAAAAACTTCGCCCAAAGTGGTTAAATCCCTCAGTATCAAAAGATTAGGATCGCCCTTGTCTTTCTAACTCAAGACCTTCCATTACAGAGGTGTGATCTCAGCCCAGTATATCATCTCCTCTGGATTATGAAGGGAGTGATTAGAGCTGTAATTGGGAAGACATGGGACAAGCTGAGGTGTGGCCCGCTCATAAACCGCAACCCTTTGCAGGCAATCAGGGACTATTACAGGCAAGGTGTGTGCTCACTCTCACAAGTCTACACACCCATGTTTGCTTTATGCTCATAATAAAAGTTATTGAGCATGTTAGAGGAGTGAGATCTGGGTGGAGCAGGGAACTCGGAGCTTTACAGAATGACTGCAGGAGAAGGAATCTAGGACACTCAGATTTTGAAATGTGTCAATATAAAATGCAATTTTTAAAGACACAGTATAGTGCATTTATAGCGAATACATACTTTGACTTGCTGCAATATCGTCAAAAGTGTGCGCCGTGGCTACCGCAACATACATGCGTCTAAGGGCTCGTTCACACTTGACTTTATTCTAAATCTTGCCAAACGTCCCTATAGCGTTTGACAGGCGTTAGGGAAGAGTTTTTAAAGCTCCCGAAACAATCTATGGGCCGGTTTTGAGGCGGTTGAAAGGAGTTTGCCAAGCATTAAAACTGCACCACAAACTCCTATAATGAAGTTAAAATGGTATTAACGCTCCGAAAACGCCTCGCAACCAGCACCATAGACTTGAATGGGAGGCTTCAACTCCTCCTGACTCAACCCGAGGCGTCAGTTTTGCCACAACACGATGCTAACACTTCTGTGTGACCAGCACTGTGTGCTGCCATGTGCAGAATTTTCATAGGTGTTTGGGAAGCGTTTTTTAATGCTTCTCAAACGCCTGTCTGAAGCCTGCTGATAAAGCTAGTGGGAACGTAGCCTAATGCACCAAAGCATGGCATTAGCGTTGCAGTGGACTACTAGTGTGCGTTGTAGTGGGCTATGTACAAACAGGTGCATGCCTGATTTTCAGTCCATTGAGATGCACTGGAAGGCCAGCATGCAAGGGTTAACATGCAGCAAGGGACCAGAGAGGTGTGACCGAGCCTGGGGCTGCTGTTAGAAACCACAGAGCCCCATACAGCCAACCTGACATTTGCCCCCCCCCCCCCCCCCCCAAAAAAAGGAAAAAAAAATCAAAATACTGTTTACTATGCTTCAGTTATGAATGAACAAAGTGAGCGATCTGTACCGATCACTCACTGTGTTCGTTTAGGAAAGGAAGGGATGGTAAAATGACATTTACCAGACTCCTCACCCACTCTCCATTATCATGTGCTTGCAGCTGGTGGTGGAAAGGAGGAGGAGGAAAGCAGCACTGCGAGGGTGGGGGCACATAGGCAGGCCTTGGCATCAACGGGAAATGCATAGTGCACAGGGAGGGCGATTGGCACAATGGGGGACGCAATTACTGGAACCAATCCCCTGTATGGCTCTCTCTGCAGCACCTGAAAGCCAGTGGAAGGGGAGGAAGCCAGCGTTCAGCTGCTGCACAGACAGCCATACAGGGGATTGGTTCCAGTAATGTCAATCCGCCCCCCCCTGCCGTGCCCATCACACTCTCTGCCCACATCTGATTCAGCCAGCTGCCACCCTGCTGACCTGGACCCTGTACAGGTGGACTTGGTGGTGCCCCCTTATCTACGGCCCTGAATGAGCCCTTAATAGTGACGCTTTATTTTTTTATACACGCTTGGCATTCCTTATTTTCATTCTGATAAAATTGAAGAAATCTATAGCACTAGCCACTAGAAGGAGCTCTTGATGGCTCAGTACGATTATTGTCAACTGCTGAGATGAGGTCCCTGGGAGGTGCATTCTTTTTAGGGGTCAAGAGACTCAAAACTTCCAGTGATTGTACTTTACTGCTCCTTCTATGTAGCACTGTAGATTAAGATTCTGGATAGTTTCTCAAAAAGCATCAAAATATGAAAATTAATCAACCAGGCAACTAGCTTTCTCCAGAGGCTGAAATGGTGGTCCACATACTGTACAGGACAAACATTCTGGAGGTCTTGTTCAGATCAGAACAAAGCACAAAGGTCCATAAGTCTCTAGTGTATTAGATATTACCGAATCCCCCCCATAAATTTTTTTTATCCCCAGCGGTCACATGATTTCACCGATCACCTGGAGCAGTCTGGGACAGCTTGGTCAGCATGCGAGGAGCGCACTCTCAGCACATAACCTCATGCTCCAAAAATGCACTGCGGCTGGGCATTAAAGCCCACCTTTCTTGTCATTATGTGGTCATGAAGATGTTCAGAAAAGTTATTCTAGGGTGGACTACTCTCCATACAGCCAATATATTCTAGGGTGGACTACTCTCCATACAGCCAATATATTCTAGGGTGGACTACTCTCCATACAGCCAATATATTCTAGGGTGGACTACTCTCCATACAGCCAATATATTCTAGGGTGGAGTACTCTCCATACAGCCAATATATTCTAGGGTGGACTACTCTCCATACAGCCAATATATTCTAGGGTGGACTACTCTCCATACAGCCAATATATTCTAGGGTGGACTACTCTCCATACAGCCAATATATTCTAGGGTGGACTACTCTCCATACAGCCAATATATTCTAGGGTGGACTACTCTCCATACAGCCAATATATTCTAGGGTGGACTACTCTCCATACAGCCAATATATTCTAGGGTGGACTACTCTCCATACAGCCAATATATTCTAGGGTGGACTACTCTCCATACAGCCAATACACACCACCCTCTCAAGGTCAGCCATCTCCTGAGTGATAGAAAGGATGCACTTCTCTGCACAGTGGACAGTAGAAAGAATTACAGCCCCAATTCATCACCTTTCCCTCCTTACATCAGCTCACTTCTCTGAAATCCACTTGCCTTTTTTGACTTTGTAGATCATTTTTATTCCCTTCAAGCCAAGTAAATTTATTTATTTCAGGTACTTATATAGTGCCGTCAATTTACGCAACGCTTTCCATATATATTGTACATTCACATCAGTCCCTAACCCTCAAGGAGTGTACAATCTAAGGTCCCTAACTTACATTCATACATACACATACTAGGGCCAATTTAGGCAGGAGCCAATTAACCTCCCAGCATGTCTTTGGAGTGTAGGAGGAAACTGGAGTACCTGGAGGAAACCCACGCAAACTCCAGGCAGGTGGTGCCGTGGTTGGGATTCGAACCAATGACCCAAGTAAATAACATGAACTCACGCAGGCTTACTGAATAAGGCAGAGCAAATAATGACACTGTAGTCCAAAATAGGCAATCAGAAAGCATCTTAAAGCTGAATTCCGAATAAACAGCCGAATCAGAAAAAAAAAAAGATTATATTGATATTATATACATTTTTGTCCAGTCTTGAGATCTACACAGCTCTGCCACACCACACAGTTATGTCTGGTAGCGTAGAAGACATGATTTTTTGCTGTTCCAGTTCAGTTACGGGTCTCCTTGTCATCCCCAGCCTGTACAGGCTGATGACCTCATTACTCTGCTCTCTACTCCTGCCACCATGCTCCTTTCCACTATTGGTTCTTTGTGCTGCAGACTTTAGTACTACTTTACAGGAGAAGTTCATTTTTGAAGCGTGTTCCACCTGTTTTTTTTGGGGGTGGAAGATATAACATGTTCCACCATCTGCAGCCTCTCCTCCCGTGACAGCAGGCCAGGGATCTTCTCTCTTCACCCGCTATCACTATTTCAAAACAGCGTGGCTGTGCGGGGTTCCGCTCACATGGCCAGAGCATTCATTCACAGTTTCCTGTGAATGAATGTCTTCAAGTATCTTCATCCAATGTAACTGACGGCTTGAAGTCTTCAATGAGCTGCGAGGGCGTTGGTGAGCACTCCCATAGTCCATTGATCTTCCTGCTCTCAGGTAATTGCCTGCCTGTACAAGTTTGAGCAGACAGCTATCCTGAGAGTCTGCAGGAGCTGGACATTGCACCAGTGATCTGCTCATCACAGGTTCAATGCTCTGCAGGCTCCCTAATTAAAAAAAAAAAAAAAAAAAAAAAAAAAAAAAAACTTTTTTTTTTTAACCTGCCCAAGGCCAGTAGGGGGGCCCAGGTGGTTGGCTGAATCTGATGTGGGCAAGGAGGTTGATTGGCCCCAGGAAGAGGTGGTGGGGGGGGGGGGGGGGGTCAGGTAGCAGTTACTGGAACCGATCCCCTGTATGGCTCTCTGCAGCAGCTGAAAGCTGGAGTCTGCTCTCCCTCCTGCTGGCTTTCAGCTGCTGCAGAGAGCCATACAGGAGGTCAGTTCCAGTAACTGCTGCCCCCCTCCCCTTTCCGGGGCCAAATCAACTTCCTTGCCAACATCAGATTCAGCCAGCTACCTGGGCCCCCCCCCAACCGTTCCTGTGTGCCATACGTTTTCCCCTGCTGCTCAGGCCCCTGTGTGCCCCCACTCCCGCAGTGCAGCCTGCTCCCTCTTCTCCTTCCCATCGGCAGCTGCAAATGGAGAGTGGGGGGGGGGGGGGGGGGGGGAAGGTCCATTAACGATGTCACATTTACCAGCCCCTTTCTTTCCTGAATGAACACAATGACTGATCAGTCACTGTGTTCATTCATAACTGAAGCATAGTAAACTTTTTTTTCTTGGGAAGGGGCTACCTGTCAGAAACCATGGGGCCCCATACAGGCAACCTAACATCAACCCTGGGGCCAAGGATTTTGCAATGAAATACTGTGCTGCAACCAAACTGTTTGACTTGGCCTCATTGGTGGTCCCATTCATATCAAATTGGCAAGCTTCACAAACTGTGAAACCAAGCGTGCCAAGTTAAATATTACCGCGGCAGTAAAAAGCTGTGGCTCAGCTATCTTTTTAGCTTCCCTCCTGCCTCCTCTCTGAGTAAATTAGTCCTTTAAGGTGTGTTGAGTATACTAAAAGTCCCGCAAGCAGCATTTTTGCTGCACATTTTTTCAAAGTCGCATATTACATAGGGATCATTAGCAATGCCTGTGCATGGTTTAATTGGGCAACTATGTGGCAAATGAGGTTTAATGTTGATAAATGTAAGGTTATGCATGGGGGGGCTAAGAATATGCATGCATCATACATACTAGGGGGGTACAACTGGGGGAATCAATGGTGGAGAAGGATCTGGGGGTTCTGGTAGATCACAAGCTTAATAATGGCATGCAATGCCAAGCTGAGGCTTCTAAAGCGAGCAAAATCCTCTGTTGTATTAAAAGGGGTATAGACTCCAGAGAGAGAGATATCATATTCCCCCCGGTACAAATCATTATTAAGACCTCATCTGGAATATGCAGTTCAGTTTTGGGCACCAATTCACAAAAAGAACATTGGGGAACTGGAGAAAGTACAGAGAAGGGCAACCAAACTGATATGAGGCATGGAGGAGCTCAGCTATGAGGAAAGATTAGAGGAACTGAATTTATTCTCTCTTGAGAAGCGGAGATTAAGGGGGATATGATCACCATGTATAATAACATAAGGGGGGATATGATCACCATGTATAATACATAAGGGGGGATATGATCAACATGTATAATACATAAGGGGGGATATGATCAACATGTATAATACATAAGGGGGGATATGATCTCCATGTATAATACATAAGGGGGGATTATGATCTCCATGTATAATACATAAGGGGGGATATGATCTCCATGTATAATACATAAGGGGGGATATGATCTCCATGTATAATACATAAGGGGGGGGATATGATCTCCATGTATAATACATAAGGGGGGGATATGATCTCCATGTATAATACATAAGGGGGGGGGATATGATCTCCATGTATGTAATAATACATAAGGGGGGATATGATCTCCATGTATAATACATAAGGGGGGGATATGATCTCCATGTATAATACATAAGGGGGGGATATGATCTCCATGTATAATACATAAAGGGGGGGGGATATGATCTCCATGTATAATACATAAGGGGGGATATGATCTCCATGTATAATACATAAGGGGGGATATGATCTCCATGTATAATACATAAGGGGGGATATGATCTCCATGTATAATACATAAGGGGGGATATGATCTCCATGTATAATACATAAGGGGGGATATGATCTCCATGTATAATACATAAGGGGGGATATGATCTCCATGTATAATACATAAGGGGGGATATGATCTCCATGTATAATACATAATGAGGGGGGATATGATCTCCATGTATAATACATAAGGGGGGGGGGGATATGATCTCCATGTATAATACATAAGGGGGGGGGGATATGATCTCCATGTATAATACATAAAGGGGGGATATGATCTCCATGTATAATACATAAGGGGGGGGGGATATGATCTCCATGTATAATACATAAGGGGGGGGGGGGATATGATCTCCATGTATAATACATTAGGGGGGGATATGATCTCCATGTATAATAACATAAGGGGGGGATATGATCTCCATGTATAATACATCATAAGGGGGGGGGGGGGGGATATGATCTCCATGTATAATACATAAGGGGGGGGGGGGGATATGATCTTCATGTATAATACATAAGGGGGGGGGATATGATCTCCATGTATATACATAAGGGGGGGGGCTATGATCACCATGTATAATACATAAGGGGGGGGGCTATGATCACCATGTATAATACATAAGGGGGGGTATAATACATATATGATCATCACATGTATAATACATAAGGGGGGGATCACCATGATGATCACCATGTATAATACATAAGGGGGGGATATGATCACCATGTATAATACATAAGGGGGGATATGATCTCCATGTATAATACATAAGGGGGGGATATGATCTCCATGTATAATATACATAAGGGGGGGATATGATCTCCATGTATAATACATAAGGGGGGATATGATCTCCATGTATAATACATAAAGGGGGGGATATGATCTTCATGTATTATAATACATAGGGGGGGGGATATGATCACTCCATGTATTATACATAAGGGGGGGATATGATCATCCATGTATAATACATAAGGGGGGGATATGATCTCCGTGTATAATACATAAGGGGGGATATGATCTCCGTGTATAATACATAAGGGGGGATATGATCTCCGTGTTATACATAAGGGGGGATATGATCTCCATGTATAATACATAAGGGGGGATATGATCTCCGTGTATAATACATAAGGGGGGGATATGATCTCCGTGTATAATACATAAGGGGGGGGTATATATGATCACCGTGTATAATACATAAGGGGGGGGATATGATCTCCATGTAGAATACATAAGGGGGGGGGGATATGATCTCCATGTAGAATACATAAGGGGGGGGGGATATGATCTCCATGTAGAATACATAAGGGGGGGGGGGGGGGGGATATGATCTCCATGTAGAATACATATAAGGGGGGGGGGGGATATGATCTCCATGTAGAATACATAAGGGGGGGGGATATGATCTCCATGTAGAATACATAACAATAAGGGGGGATATGGTGGGGGGGGGGGGGATATGATCTCCATGTATAATACATAAGGGGGGATATGCTCTCCATGTATAATACATAAGGGGGGATATGATCTCCATGTATAATACATAAGGGGGGATATGATCTCCATGTATAATACATAAGGGGGGGATATGATCTCCATGTATAATACATAAGAGGGGATATGATCTCCATGTATAATACATAAGGGGGGGATATGATCTCCATGTATAATACATAAGGGGGATATGACCTCCATGTATAATACATAAGGGGGGATATGATCTCCATGTATAAACACATCAGTGGTTCATATAATGAACTCGGTGTAGAGTTATTCACCCTGAGGTCATCACAGAGGACAAGGGGGCACTCTTTACATCTGGAGGAAAAGAAATGTAATCTCCAAACACAGAAAGGTTTCTTCACAGTAAGAGCTGTGAAAATGTGGAATAGACTCCCTCAAGAGTTGGTTCTGGCCAGCTCAGTGGATTGCTTTAAAAAAGTCCTGGATTCTTTCTTAGATACACAAAATATAACTGGATAATAACATTTATAGGTAAAGCTGATCCAGGGAATATCCGATTGCCTCTCGGGGGATCAGGAAGGAATTTTTTTCCCTGCAGGAGCAAATTGGATAATGCTTTGCTGGGGTTTTTTGCCTTCCTCTGGATCAACTGTGGGTATAGGATTATAACTTATTTTTAATGGCTGAACTGGATGGACTTAGTCTGGCTGAAAAAAGATCAAACTATGAAGGGTATCTACAACACACCGCCCCCATTAATGCATGAAAAACAGCCCAAGTCACCTGTCATGGCTTTATGTTTTGAACCACTAGGTCAGCAAAAATATTTTATATACATTTCAGTGACTGAGAATTCCTTGGCTTTTCCTGGTCAACGCGGTTGGTATTTAGCCAATCGTTCAGGATACGTATGGCCTCCTCACCTGCCGCAGATGTTTTCAATGTGAATCTTTTGTAGGATCGCCAGCTTTAAAACCTTAATACGTGCCGGCAATCTGTGTGGGACTAACCGTATCCCCAGCTGGGTAATGCTGTGCAGACACATGGCAGATGTTTAGCAGGTTCTTCTCACCTGTTTGGTGGCCACATCAGACAAGTTCCTCAGAGTCCACAGGCAGTTCTGTACAAGTCTAGGGCTGGAGCTAGTCAGATGCTTCCCGAGAGCCTGCATTCCCCCTGGAAGACAAAGATGATGAAACCAATTAAAAGGCAGCTGCAAAAGCTCCGCTGTGGGGCAGACATACGATGAAGGCCGTCTCTCTGGTAGAAAGAAACATGAAAATGAGAAGAATGGTGACATGGCTCGAGGCAGCCGTAACCAACATGCAGCAACATGACATGTGCCTGGACGAGGAGATCAAATAGCCACCATTGGATCTAAATTGCTCTAACCTCTGACATCATGGAGCCTCCCTCGGGGACTGAGGGATTCTGGTGTAATTAGCACCTGAAAGCAAGGATTTCCACTTTCATCTCCAACACAGAGCCCGGAAAACTCTACCCAGAAGCCCTTGAGGCACAGTGGCTTACGCTTTGTGGGGTGTTTACAAAGCATTCAGCATACATATTTGTGCGCAATTCCCACTTGCCAGTTTTAACAAGTAGGAATATTTACAGTTGTGCATTCTTAATAGGAAATATTTCAAATTTCACCTCTTCCCATCCGCTGCAGGCCTTTAACTGGGTCTAAAAGCAGAATTAGAGGGTGTTTGTCAGGAAGTCCATCTCTTCTCCTCCCCCCCCGACCATGTGACTACTGGGATTGGCTGTCACAGTAGTCATATGATCAGGAGCCCAGCTCCCGATCATAACTAGACAGCACAGTGACGTCATGGCTTATGGGCAGCACAGTGGCTATATGGTTAGCACTTCCGCCTGGCAGTACTAGGGTCCTTGGGATTGGCTGTCACAGTAGTCGTATGATCAGGAGCCCATCCCAGCTCCCGATCATAACTAGACAGCACAGTGATGTCATGGCTTATGGGCAGCACAGTGGCTAAATTATTATTATTATACAGTATTTATAAAGCGCCAATAGTTCACTCAGCGCTGTACATTACAAAGGGGGACAGAACATGTGACAGAACAATACCAATACAATGCAAAACATGAGGGGATTGAGGGCCTGCTCTTTGGCGCACAGTGATGTCATGGCTTATGGGCAGCACAGTGGCTAAATGGTTAGCACTTCTGCCTGGCAGTACGAGGGTCGTTGGTTTGAATCCCAACCACGGCACCAACTGCCTGGCGTTTGCATCTTCTCCCTGTGTGGGTTTCCTCAGGGTACTCCGGTTTCCTCCCACACTCCAAAGACATGCTGGTAGGTTTATTGTCTCCTGTCTAAATTGTCCCTAGTATGTGTATGTATGAATGTGAGTTAGGGACCTTAGATTGTACGCCCCTTGAGGGTTAGGGACTGATGTGAATGTACAATATATATATGTAAAGCGCTGCGTAAATTGATGGCACTATACAAGTACCTGAAATAAATAAATGACTATTTTTGCAGGGTAATATCTGGGTTTGTAAAGGCATTCAGTGCACACAAAGTGGATTTACAACCCTAATGGCTACTGAGAAATAGATTTAAATGAAAAGGCTCCTTTCACATGGGGCAGACTCTGATTTGATCAGTAGCAGATATGTCCGCTTATCCCCTGCTGAGCAGAGCAGGTGGAAACGCTTTCGTGTTCGCTCAGTTTATGCAGAGCAGACAGACGGAGCACACTCCGCTCTACGGGCATCCGGGAAATAAACCGACTCAGCTGTCTGTTTACACCCAATTGCCCACCGATCTACCTAGACGGAGGGGGACAGATCCCCTTCAGCTTTTTTTTAAAGATCAGATTGGAGGTAGGCAAGTGTAAACGGACACAAGTTTGTTTACACCTGCCGGTCCATAGGGGTAAATGAAGGGTTCGATCAGGTACTCCTTGAAAAAACTGACAGGTTGACTTGATCGGACCCTTCGTGTGAAAGAGGCCTTAGAGTCCTGAGTCCAGGTTTAAGAAGTTCCTTGTCACTTTGGAGAGATTTTACTTCCTTCTGCCTGGGACAAAAAGTGAAAGAAAATAAAAAAAAAAATAAAAACCCTCAAATCGGTAAACAATGCTTGGTGACCCCCCAAAAAAAAAAAAAAAAAAAAAAAAAAAAAAAAAAAAAAAAAAAAAACCACAGCTGTCACAATGTTTCCACTTCCATTTGTGTAAAAGAGGAACTATTCCGGTTTTTTTTTTTAGAAAAATGTGAAAGGCCAGCTAAATGCAAATTTTAAATATTGTATGAAAAGTTTGTAAGTAACATAGGAGTGTCCATAGCGGTGTGTTGGACGCCGACACCATCTGACTTCCAAGCTTCTGACCAGTTCCAAGGCAGTCTCTCCACCAACAATGCAGCGGTACACCCTAAACTTTTTGCAGACCGAATGCTTGTGAAAGGGAGAGCTTGACAGGCGGTGCCACCTGTCAAACTCTGCAACCAGAGTTTAAAATGCTGCGGATGCAAAGCAGAAGAGGCACATGTACAGCCCTAACAGTATCCTGAAACCAGCGCTCAAATCTTTCTTGCTGCACTCAAAAATATGGAATCCTTCACTTGCTGAAGTGCCACCCTTGATGGATCGGGGAATCTCGATACTAGCAGAAAAAAACAAAAAACAAAACCGGGCGCACTCTCCTCGTGCATTACCGTGATAAGAAATGTAGTTCAAAAATAAAAATGCATACTCACAAGCCAAAAAAGGTCCTAAAAACAGACAAGGAGTCAAAAGATGCCCAGTCATCAGCAACAGAGGTCCTCGGGTAAAGTACTAACGCGTTTCGGAAGCTGAACTCCCTTCCTCTGAGCAAAGGATAAAAATGGATTTTTGTGGCATCCATTGCTGAGGAAGGGAGTTCAACTCCCGAAACGCGTTAGGACTTTACCCAAAGCCCTCTGTTGCCAATGACTGGCATCTTTTAACTCCTTGTCTGTTTTTATGACTTTTTTGGCTTGTAAATATGCATTTGTATTTTTATAATAAAATGCTTATCACGGTAATGTACAAGGAGTGTGCGCCCCGTTTTGTTTTTTCTACATGTACAGCCCTGTCAAGCTGTTATGTTAGGATTCAGGTGAGAGGTCAGTGGAGTGGTAAAATCATGGCTCAGCCATCTGTGTTTACCTCCCCCCCCCCCCCCCCCCCCCCTGCCATCCATATAAAACCACTCTAAAAGGGGAGAGAGCTAGGATGTACAAGGAGGGAGGGCGCTGTGCTAGGGAATGAACCTGAAGTAGCCAAAGTTGCTAGTAAGCTTAGAGGTTCATTGCAAGTGAACGAAAATGAAAAAACACCAAGCATTTGCTATACTCTTGCTTGCAATTTAAGTTGCTGACAGGGTCTCTAAAGGCTGGTTCACATCAGCTGCTGCACTCCAGCACAGCAGACGGTGTGCAGTGCACTTTGACTGAGCTCATTGAAGTGATGAAGCACTGAGCTCAGTGGAACGCACGGTTTCCTTTTCTTTTTTTTTTTTTTTTTTTTTTATAAACAACGTTTGAGATGTCACACAGGCTTTCAAAAGTTCAATTGCTGGCTGCATGCAGTATTTTTTCTCAGAGCCACCATGACCCCGTACGCCATCGCAACACAGTGGTGTGATCCGGGCACATAGGAGACGAGGCATTTTGCCTTGTCCATGCAACAGGACTGCGCTGGTGTGATTCTACCCAAACTGTACATGGGTAACCAGGGCCCTGGACACTCAGACCCCCCAAAAAAAAAAAAAATAATTTTATGTGTGAATAATTTTTATTATTTTGTGTTTGTTTTTTTTTCTTCTCCTGGAGTGATTTAGTGGGGGGGGGGGGGGGGGGGGGGGTTCTGTCTTTTTTTTCCCGTTTGTCTTCTGGTTTGTGTATATATATATATATATATATATATATATATATATATATACATACATACATACATACATACATACATACATACACACATATATATATACACACACACACACACACACACACACACACACACCCAAACCAGAAGACAAACGACAAAAAAGAAAAAGAAAAAAAAAAAAAAAACCCACAAAAGTCACTCCAAGAGAAGAAAAAAAAAAAAAAAAACAAAACACAAAATAAAAATGATTCATACAGCATTCGGATTTGTCAAAATCACATGGCTAAATGTACAAGGAATTTTGTAGTAGAAAATCTAGATCACGATGCCATTTAGCATTCAACAGTGAATAATACAAAAAGGAAAAGAAAAAAAAAAAAAAAAAAAAAACACTGGTGACTATTTGGCCGTATCATGCCTGATGACTCAAAAGAAAGGAACGTGGTGATCTGGACTAGCCTAGATGCATTGCGTGAAAAGGGTCATTACTTCCACCCTGTTGCACATTGCTGTATGGTTTTGCGCTCCTGGGGAAATGCAATGAATACAAGGCACGGGATCCCTGGTGAGCCAGCAATGCACGCAGTCATATGCCACAGATTACACAACAGCCTTCTTCTGCTCTCTGCCTCCATGCCCTGCTATGGAGCATCACAAAGAGCTGCCACAACAGACGGACCTGCTGCTAACTGGCCAAGGGGAGATCAGAAGAAATGGAGGTGGAGGGGGATTAAGGAGGGAGTTCATAAGATGACACAATACCAGCGTGATTAGGAGGAAACTCATCTCAGTCTCTGCTGGAACTCCGAAACTTCAGACAATTATAACCTGAAACTGCAGCTGAGTATGACATAAAATATCACGCCCCTTACAGGCTGTTAAAGTTAACCAGGCTTAAAAGGACTACCAACCCTAAAAAAATTCAAATTTAGGAAGCTGCACAACATGTAATGTATTTACTGGAATTAAAAAGATCTAACATGAGCCATTTGTGGGAAGACCTTTTCATGGAGGAAGTGCACTCTTCAGTCTAAGTCCCCCAGTGCACTTCATGGGTTTTGTGCTTGGGCTACAGTCAGCACTGCAGACTTGGGTTCAAATCCCACCGCAGGCACAATCGTCAAGGAGTTTGTGTACCTTTCATCTGCCCAGAAACCTACTGGTAACAGGTAGGTCCCCTTTATATTTCTGCATAGGTTGGTGTACATTTTATAGATGGCCATTGCAATGGCCATGCATTTTCAATGAGCCCTCAATGTGCTAAAAAAAAAAAAAAAAAAAAAAAGCTGTCCATGCTAAAGACACTTACCTCTCCTGCTGCCCTTGTGGCTGAATGCTGCCCTGATGCAGAGAATTCATCTGCTGAGCTCTTGATCCCATTCAGTAGTTGCTGCAGCTGACCAGTACAACACTCGTGTCCTGTAGTGACATAGGGGGCTGGCATGAGGTGCCACTGAGAGCAGGGAACTAGGAGGTACTCTAGAGTAGTGGTCTCCAAACTGTGGCCCAAGGGCCAGATGTGGCCCTTTGCTAGCCTTTATCTGGCAGTTGGGGCACTATTCCTCCCACTGACACCAACAGTGGGGCACTGACAGGAACACTAATGACTGGTCACTGACACTAATGATGGGGCACTATTCCTCCAACTAATATCAATGATGGGACACTATTCCATCCACTGACACCAAACAATGGGGCACTATTCCTCCCTCTGACATCAACAGGGCACCATTTATTTCCCCGCTAACAATAATGAGGTACTATTCCTCCCACTAATATCAATGATGGGACACCATTCCATCCACTGACACCAACAGGGCACCATTTCTTTCCTTGATACCAATAATGAGGTACTATTCCTCCCACCAATATCAATGATGGGGCACTATTCCTCTCGCTGACACCAACAAAGGGGCACTATTCCTCTTGCTGACACCAACAAAGGGGCACTATTCCTCTCGCTGACACCAACAACAGGGCACTATTCCTCTCGCTGACACCAACAAAGGAGCACTATTCCTCTCGCTGACACCAACAAAGGGGCACTATTCCTCTCGCTGACACCAACAACAGGGCACTATTCCTCTCGCTGACACCAACAAAGGAGCACTATTCCTCTCGCTGACACCAACAAAGGGGCACTATTCCTCTCGCTGACACCAACAACAGGGCACTATTCCTCTCGCTGACACCAACAAAGGGGCACTATTCCTCTCGCTGACACCAACAACAGGGCACTATTCCTCTCGCTGACACCAACAAAGGAGCACTATTCCTCTCGCTGACACCAACAAAGGGGCACTATTCCTCTCGCTGACACCAACAACAGGGCACTATTCCTCTCGCTGACACCAACAAAGGAGCACTATTCCTCTCGCTGACACCAACAAAGGGGCACTATTCCTCTCGCTGACACCAACAACGGGGCATTATTCCTGTCGCTGACAACAACAACGGGGCACTATTTTTTTCATTCATACCAATAATGGGGTACTATTCTTCCCACTAATATCAACGATGGTACACTATGCCTCCCACCGACACCAACAATGGGGCACTATGCCTCCCACCGACACCAACAATGGGGCACTATGCCTCCCACCGACACCAACAATGGGGCACTATGCCTCCCACCGACACCAACAATGGGGCACTATGCCTCCCACCGACACCAACAATGGGGCACTATGCCTCCCACTGACACCAACAATGGGGCACTATGCCTCCCACTGACACCAACAATGGGGCACTATGCCTCCCACTGACACCAACAATGGGGCACCATTTCTTTCCTTGATACCAATAATGGGGTACTATTCCTCCAACTAATACCAATGATAGGGCACTACTACTCCTTCTACTGACCACCAACCCCGAGGCCATGTTTATTTCCATTGATGCTGAGCCTGCAACATTTTCTACACTCATTGGCCACAATTTGCTCCCCAAAGTCTGAAGGACAGTAAACTGGCCCTTTGTTGAAAAGGTTGAGAGAGGTTGCTATAGAGCAGGGATCTCCGGCTCCCCAGAACTCTTGCTATTCACTGGCCTTGGCTGTGTGTTTGAATGGACACGAAGAGCAGCGGCTCGGGAGCAAGCCTGCTTGGGTACCCCCCATAGCAAGCTCTGGGGGCATGTGACAAATGGGAGGGGACAGCAGTCCAAATGGGGGAAGTTATCAACACTAAATAAATTAAATAGTGTCTAGAACAAACTAGCCAAGTGTGGGGGGGGGGGGTTTAAAAACCACAGCATGTGCCAGCAGCTTATGATCTTGTCAAGAACAGGCAAATCTGTCAGAGGTCCATCAGGTAATGGTCATGTATGCTAGATGCCATCTACAGTATGGCATTTCATACAAAGCCTTGCATGAGGACCATCGCCCCAAGCCGAAAATAAACAAAATCTAGGCGATTCAGAAACTTCAAGCCAATCCGGCAGATTTTCTTACCAGCTTCTACGATGGCGGGCTTGTTGCTGGGGCAGACAGAGAGAACCTTCAGCACTCTGCTTGTGGTCCACAGCAGCTTCTCATAGTTGTAGGTCCTCATGATCTGTACGAGACCTTGTGGTCCTCCATTGGCCAGAATAATAAGCTGAAGAAATAAAAACAGTCATTGGTTATACCAGTATCCTGGACACATTTCATTTCGCAGTCCACAGGTTTTTAATAAAAAGGCATCTCAGCAACATGAAAAAGAAACAAAAAAAGGCGATGCTATGCCATACAAATGTGTGCACAATACATTTGCCTTTTGCCCTACATATTAACCTATAGCAGAATCCTCAAAATGATCCTTCACAGTTCTACGAAGGGATGAACTACATGTACCAGTAGTCTTTTGGCTGTACTCAGCAGTCACTCACATGGACTTTTGGAGGAAACAGGCATGGCTTTCCATTGGCACACAGAGTGGAGGAGGGCAATCCGAGGTGAGGACTCGGATCGCCCACTTCCTATGTCCTCGCACATCGCTGTAGTCCAAGCAGCTAGAGCGGGATCAGGGAGACAACAATGTGGTGATTTAACTGCAGTAGCAACAGTGTTGTCACCCTTAAAAGAAGTCAGGATTTATTCAACGATCAGAACTAAAACAGTCCTGCAAAAAGATATTATGCAAAGGGAGATATGACAGAGTAAGGTTTTGTTTGCGTTGACTGTAGTACATATGTCATTTGACCATAGTCCTACTTCAGAACGTTATCATTTGGAAAAAGTTATAAGATATTTCTTAGAACTAGAGCTAGCAAATAAACTAACTTTTATGTCTTAGCCTAAAGCAAGCCATAAATGATGTCATTTTCTTTCCATGGGTTGCAGGAAAAACAAACAAAACAACCACACACACAACCAACACACACACAAAAAAACAACCACACACACAAAAAACAAAAAAACAACCACACACACAAAACACAACACACACACACAAAACACAACCACACACACAAAACACAACCACACACACAAAAAACACAACCACACACACAAAACACAACCACACACACAAAACACAACCACACACACAAAAAAACAACCACACACACAAAAAACAACCACACACACAAAAAACAACCACACACACAAAAACAACCACACACACAAACACACAAAACAAAAAAACAACCACACACACACACACACCACAAAATGCTTGAATCCACCATCAACAGTCCGTGTTGATGGAGGAATCCCTCCCGCAGTGCTATTGTTTTCTGCCAGCAGTAATCGCATGCAAAAAAATCCAACAGGCTGGTTGTACTAAAGTCGATCAATGGATCACCTTCGGTACAACCAGCCTACCATAGATGGATCTAATCTCAGCCAGGTTCCTGCTGACCCAGCAGAGATTCAGTCCATCTATAGCCGGCTTAAGTCTTGTGTACATTTTTTTTTTTTTTAAGTGTATAAAGATTTATTAAAAAGGAAAAACAACATTTTTCTGAATGTTAATTTTGCTGTGGTTTTTTTTTTAGCTTTTCAATATTTTACATTTTATTTCCTACATCAATTGTAAAGGATACCTTTAGAGAACATCTGTATGTCAGGAATTGTAGGGTCCCTGCTAGGTTAATATTTTGGAGTCCACCATTCTCTGTCAGTCTTCCACCAACAGTGGAGCAATAAACCAGAGCAATTATAAAATGTTGGCTTCCATAAACTTTACAAGCTGAGCGCACATTTAGATGAAAGGGTATATAGAACTCTCCCTTCAGTTACAACTTAAAAGATTAACAGAACATAATGGATTGCATGCGATCTCAAATGGCATGAAACACTTACAAGGCAGCAAGTAGCCAAGATCATGGAGTTTTCATTAGGAATACAAAAAAACCTCCCTTTCTGACCTATGACCCAAGAAGAATGTGAATCTGTGACTGAATATTTTCAAATTGTGGGCAGCACAGTGGGTAAATGGTTAGCACACCCACCTGGCAGCACTAGGGTCATTGGTGTGAATCCCAACGGCAACATTACCTGCTTGGAGTTTGCATGTTCTCCCTGTGCCTTCCGCCGGTTTCTTCCCACCCTTCAAAGACATGCTGGTAGGAAAATTGGTCTTAATATGTATGAATGTGAGTTCGGGACCTTCAATTGTACTCTCCTTGAGGGTTAGGGGCTGATGTGAATGTGCATATGTAAAGCGCTGCATACATTGGCAGCGCCATATAAGCACCTGTAATAAATACAAAAAAACTTAAAAAAACGTGCCTGCACCCAATCAGATGCAGTCACTGTTTGGGTATTCTGATGGCTGGCGGGGCTGCAGTCTGGAATAGTCACAGCAGTGAATGAGTCCATCTATGCTGTGTATTGTGAAAAGAAAAAAGAAAAAAAAAGAAAAGAATAAAAAGAAAAGAATAAAAAAGAAAAAAAGGAAAAAAAAAAAAAAAAGGGAAAAAAAGAAAATAGAAAAGAAAGGAAAAAAGGAAAAAAAAAAAAATAGAAAAGAATAAAAAAAAGAATAAAAAAAGGAAAAAAAGGGAAAAAAAAAAAAGAAAATAAAAAAAAAAAAAAAAAAAAAAAAAGAAGAGAATAAAAAAAAAGGAATAAAAAAAAGAATAAAAAAAAAGAATAAAAAAAAAAAAAAAAAAAAAAAAGGAGAAAAAAAAAAGAATAAAAAGGAAAAAAAAAAAAGAAAAAGAAAAAGAATAAAAAGGAAAAAAAAAGAATAAAAAGAAAAAAGAATAAAAAGAAAAAGAAAAAAAGAAAAGAATAAAAAGGAAAAAAGAAGAAAAGAATAAAAAAGAAAAGAATAAAAAGAAAATAAAAAAAAAGAAAAGAAAAGAAGAAAAAGAAAAGAAAAATGGGGAGAAAAAAAAAAAAAAAACAACCACCTCACACTATATCGGTATGTCCAACTGTAAATTAGCTGAAAAGTGCTTAACCTAAAAGTTAACGAAAATAAATTTTTTTTAGGACATTAAGTTTACAAAACAAGGTACTAAATCTGTACTCTGCTTTATTATAGCAGACAGTTACACTTTTAATCCTCAGCAAGCAGAAGCTTCTGATTTGAAAACCTTCTAAATTGCATTAGGTTTCCTATGCAGCAGATGTGGAAAGCAGGTCATTAAAAACGGACACAAATACCAAACATATCTTTAAAAACAACCAAGGACAAAGCTAAAGTCAAGGATATGGTTTAAACCAAGACAGTTGCTGGGTGTCTGTAATAATAATCTCAATCATGAACGAAAAGGAGCTTATAAATAAGAAAAGAAATTCCCATTATTTACGGCAGCAGCCACGCAAAAAGAGAAAAACAATTTAAATCATTTTATATAGCTAGGCTAATGGGTCTGGCTAGTTGTCATAAGCAGCCTAATCTCTGCAAGTAATATGATCAATTCCTACACTGCTTGTGGCAATCAGCCATGCAGCAGGTCCCTAGAGGGTGATCATTGGTGCCAATTTTTGCGCACAGGTTTTTTAATAATTCTCTGTGTGAGCAGGAACTTATGCCAGTTTCTATGAAGGAGTAAAGCTCCACCTTGTCCACAAGCCATCATGGCTTAAAGCAGGCCATACATGGGTCAAATTCCGAACGATTTTTCGAATGAAAATCGAAACAGTCATTCGTTCTGCAATCCGATGGTGCTACCAATGATTTCGAAAATCGGTTGTTTTTCACGACTTTTCCAACATGCCCGATAAACGAAATTGGGAGGAACCACAGAAAATCGGCCAGTGCCATTGCCCCACTAACAGAGTGAAAATCGGTCGATTATTGTTAGGTCCGATTTTCCAATGAAAAATCGTTTGGAAAATCGACTCATGTATGGCTGGCCTTAGGGGATGATCATAGCGGGTTTTGGTGGTGTGGTGAAGCTGAACACCACAATCCAGTCCCCAGCTTTACAGCTTGTCCTAAAAGGTAAAAAAAAAAAAAAAAAAAAAAAAAAAAAAAAAAAAGACAGCTAATCTCAACAAATACTGCTCTCTATTTCTCTCAAAATGTCTGAAATAGGTAATTTTTTTTAATGGTTTTTCAGTCCATTCTGGGTATTTTGGAAGGTCTCCTGAGGTTATCTTTAAAAAAAACTCTTCTAAACGTAAACACTCATAAACGCAGTTAAACAGACATATTTTTAACCTATGTTTTCCAGCAGTCAGTTTCCATCATTCAGAAGTGTCCCATGTACATGGGGTCTTATTGTAGCAGTATCAGCCGGTCATTTTAGGTGGGTTACAGAAATTTGAAGGCTTTTCTATTGCTTCCGAGTCCAAATCCAGTAACGTTCAGGCACACAGTAGCAAGAAGTGTTGGAATGGTGTCAGTCTCTCGACATAGAATATGAAGGTTTACCCCCTAAATTGATGCCTGAACCTGGAAGGACTCTTCGTACCAACACAATACGTAAAGCTTTGGTTACTTCTTACCTTGCTCTCCTGGTTTCCGTATGCCAAAAGCTGCAGGCAGTCTGTGGTGATGGCCAAGAATTTGGGGTTGTTCTTGTTGAGCAGTGGAACCATTTTCTGCAGTCCATCAGCCAAGCGCACTGCCATTTTGGCACCTTCCTGGTATAGCAGTAGATTGTGAAGAGTGGTTATGGCATAGAAGAGCACGGACTCCACTGGGGAGCTAGAAGATGAGACAATAGCACAGAAGTGAGGACATGTGAACACCCAACTACTTTCCCTTTCCATCAACCTTTTAGGACCTAAAAAATATGGGGGTGCACTATCCAACAGTAACCAGCACTCAAATCTCTCTTGATGCACTCAAAATGGAATTCTGCACTTGCTGAGGTGCCACCCTTGATAGATCTGGGAATCTTGATACTAGCAAAATAGATCTATTGCCCCGAGGAAGGGAGTTGGTCTCCCGAAACGCGTGAGCACTTTACCCGAGGACCCATGCTGTCCACAACTGGGCATCCTTTGACTTCGTCTCTCGTTTTTATGACTTTTGGCTTGTATGATTTTGCATCTTTACATAAATTCTGATTATTGTAATGCACGATCAGAGTGCGCCCGGTTTTGTTCTTTTTTTGCTAGTATATGGGGGTGCATGCCTATGTTTATACTATGTTGCACAAGTACATAAAAGGTGTTTCAGATGCCCAAATCAAAGTGATAAATATTTACGCGCAACAAAGTTTAACACTCAACCATCACACCTATATATGTGCTTGTTGGGGATTCCCATTCCAAAACCATAGAGAATTTATACCTATTCAGCCAAAAGACCATTCGTGAGGTCACGTTCAGATGTTGGGAGAGAAGACCTGGCTAGCAATTCAACCCAAAAGTTCAGTAGGATTGAGGCGTGGCCACAAGAGTTTCGCGACATCAAACTAGGTCTTTATGGCGCTACAATGGCTTTTTATTCTGTAGTATTAAACAGAACCCTTCACTGGCAACATCTAAACTCCATTTGGAAGGGTGTCTGTATACTTTCGGCAATATAGACAGGTGTAATGATCATGTATTCATAATCTTTTGACCATATAAAGTTCTGATTTTGCCATTAAAAAAAAAAAAACAAAAAAATCAAACACAAAAAAAAATCAAACACAAAAAAAATCAAACATAAAAAAAATCAAAAACAAAAAAAGGATATTGTGGTCAACATGTCTTTAATTTGAGACAACACACAATGGCCCATTATTTTGTAGTTGTAGGACTGATAACTGCACATATTGTAAATATGTCCGCTTTGTCACAAATCTCAGCCCAAAGACCCTCATCCTACTTGGATTGAATTGCCTCAGCTTACCAAGACTTTTATTTGATGAAAACATGAAATCCACAAAATCATTTAGCCACCATACACCCAACAGGTAGGACATAGCTGAAAAATAAGATCCCTACTCCTGGATTGTGTAAATGGCAGGATTTTCTCATTTATTACTACAAAACCTTGATTTAGGTATTTTTCTTTTATTTAATATTTTTTTTTTTAGATTTCTTTTTTTTTTTTTACAAAATTTTTTTTCCCTCTATGCCAGGAGTTAGAGAGATACACTGACACTAAACCACCAAATTTTATTTCTTTTTAAATCCTGACCTTTGACCCTGACCCAAACACTAACCCTGGCACTGAACTAGATCAAACCTTGATCTAGGTATTTCTTTATTTTTTAATATTTATCTTTTTTTTTTTTTTTTTTTTTTTTAAACAAACATTTTTTTGATTCCTCTATGAATGGAGGAGAGAGATACATTGTATCTCTCTAAGTCCTGGCATAGAGAGAAAAAAAAAAACAAGGGGGCCAGGCTGTACAGTGACTGATCACTGTGATAGCCAATCAGAGGCTATCACAGCGATCATGTGACCCCGGAATCGGGAGTCACAAGTCCTGATCGTTAGAACGGGACCCAGTGCGCTCAGTGACATCGTGGTCTGAGCTGGGAGCACGCAGTGAGATGCGCTCCCAACACAAAGACAGGTACACAAATATGTGACCCCCACAGAAAAAAAGCCCAGTTCTGTGAGGCCAAATATTTGTTTTACGTCGGCGTCAAGGGGTTGAAATGACTTCGAGTTTCTTCAGGATGTTATTGACCACTCATGCCACGAAAGTTGAAGGTAAGGTAGACAGACAATGATGCTCCCTGGTCTCCTCCTCCCATGCACGACTGCAAGACTTCTCCAGGTCCTCCCCCATCCTCTGGAACTCACTGCCCCAATCCATCAGACTGTCGCCTTCCCTCCTCACATTCAGGCGCTCCCTCAAAACCCATCTCTTCAGGGAAGCCTACCCCACCCTCACTTAACGGCCACTCTCCCTCATTCCTCCCACCACTTCACTCCCCTCAGCCATTTCCTACTGTACCACTACCCCCTCCCTCCTAGATTGTAAGCTCGCAAGAGTAGGGCCCTCTTACCCCTCGTATGTTGTTTGTTATTTTTGTACTGTGCCATGTATTGTCCCCCCTATATTGTACAGCGCTGAGCAAACCCTTTGGCGCTATATAAACCCGATGTAATAATAATAAATAATAATAATGATACCTAAGCATGCGCACAAGAGCAGGAATGCCTCCAGACTTGAAGATGGATAAGAGCCCCTCTCGGTGGTGGGACAGGTTGTGTAGGATGCTGGTGGTGCAGCGGGCAGTTTCCATATCGCTTGTGTTCTGCATGGTGCGCACTACGGCTGCCACAATCTGTGGGGACTGCATCAGGGCTCGGCGAGAAGCCTCTTTTTTTGGACAGCTGATTGACAATCATAGAGGCTTTGTTCACCACCACCTGGAAAACAGATTATAAATGCATATTAGTTATCAGCATTGCTGTGGAATGACCAATCAGATTTCACTGGTATAGGTTCACATCTGTGCAGGTGGTGCCGCTGCAGATCCGCACAAAAATCCACCACCTGCACAGAGGAATGCGGACCAGCGGGCCGGTGCCATTAATTCTAATGGCATGCCGCCCGCAATGGAAATCGCAACTGTACTGGGATCTGAGGTTGCCATGCGGGCTGCGTTTTCAGAAGAAGTGCAGGGATTTCTTCTCTGCGTCCCCCGGGGCACGGGAGTCTCGTGCCCACACACAAAAACGTGAATATGTGAACCGGGGGTTGGTTAAAATTCTAAAGAGAACCAGATATAGTGAATGCAGGGTCCCGGGGGGGGGGGGGGGGGGGGGTGAGACCAGATATAGTGAACGCGGGGTCGGGGGGGGGGGGGGGGTAAGACCAGCTATAGTGAACGCGGGGTCCGGGGGGGGGGGGGGGGTATGGGTAGAGGTAGAGACCAGATATAGTGAACGCGGGGTCCGGGGGGGGGTGTAAGACCAGCTATAGTGGACGCGGGGTCTGGGGGGGGGAACCAGATATAGTGAACGCGGGGTCCGGGGGGGAGACCATAGTGAACGCGGTGTCCGGGGGGGGGGAGACCAGATATAGTGAACGCGGGGTCCGGGGGGGGGGGGAGACCAGATATAGTGAACGCGGGGTCCGGGGGGAGACCAGATATAGTGAACGCGGGGTCCGGGGGGGGGAGACCAGATATAGTGAAACGGGGGGAGACCAGATATAGGGAATGCGGGGTCCGGGGGGAGACCAGATATAGTGAACGCGGGGTCCGGGGGGAGACCAGATATAGTGAACGCAGGGGGTCCAGGGGGGGGAGACCAGATATAGTGAATGCGGGGTCCGGGGGGAGACCAGATATAGTGAATGCGGGGTCCAGGGAGACCAGATATAGTAAATGCAGGGTCCAGGGAGACCAGATCTAGTGAATGCAGGGTCCTGGGAGACCAGATATAGTGAATGCAGGGTCCGGGGAGAGGGTCCAGACCAGATATAGTGAATGCAGGGTCCGGGGTTTAGTGACACTTTAAAAACTCTGGGACAGGAGCTTTGACATCAGAGCCTCCAATATACATGCCAGTAGGCTATTCCACCCAAAATAATTTCAGTTTACTAGTAAAGTGATATTTACATACACTAGGGCTATAAAATGATCCAGTGGAAGAAAACAGAACCAAAGTTTTTAGCACCAAGCTACCACATAAAATACACAAAAGTAGGGAAGCTTGTCAAAAGCATTGTACAATTCAGCTACAAGACGATCATACCGGGTCTTCATCATTCAGGAGTTTGGTCAGCTCAGGAATGGCACGGGTAGCCAATTCAGCATCATCCTGGTAGTTGATGAGATGGACAATGGCCGATTTCAGCATCTGTGAAGGCTCTGCCAGCTTCTGTACGTTGGTCTGCTGCCCATCAATCTGTGTGGCCAGTAGATAGGCAGAGTGGTCTTCCACCGTCTCTGGGTACATGGCTGCACGCACACGCTGGGCACGTGTCATGGTCAACTGTGACTCCATCTCTCCTGTAGAGAATGAAAAAAAAAAAAAAAAAAAAAAGAATTGTTACAATACAGAAAAGGAACGATACAAGCAACATGCTAAGTGACTTAAAGCAGAACTACACTGTTTGAATATTAAAAATGAATTAAATAGCATTTTTGTTTTATGATACCAAGATGCAAACTTCCCCATCCATGTCTCCATGCTTTATTTTGCTGAGAAATCACTTTGAAGCACCCCCCTAGCATTTCTAGCCGTGGCCATCTTGAGTAAGGGCAGATGATTCATATAGCATTTACTTCCTGGAATCAATCTGCCCTTAGCTCAGGCATGCAGGCAGGAAAGTGTGCTTAGCTGAGAAAACCCCTCCTCCCATTCTGAAGGCTTCTGGGATGTATTACATTTGCCTAGACCTGGAAACCAGAAAGTAACTGAAGAACTGTAGAAAAGAAAAAAAAAATGTTTAAAAACACAAGTAAATATGATATACTTTCCTATTCATTTACTAATGCTAGCAGCATAAGGATTAAAAAGTCAACATCGATTGAGGGTGTAAATTTCTGCATGAAATACATTGAAAAGTGAATTGGAAAGAGGGCCAGTCATAAGATCTGGGGTTACCCAACCTTTCCCTGACACTGCAAGTCTTAAAGGCATCAGGATGTAAACAAACCCGGTGCGTGTTTGTTTACAATGTGAAGAGCTGGCCTCGGGCTCTCCAGTAGAATCCAGAGAGTAAAACCTTCCTATCACATCTACATGTAAACAAACAAGCGCATCCCCAATGCGTGTCCCGAGCTCACCCAGGACATCTGCTGTAGTCTTCTGGGCAGGGAGCAGAGGAAAGACAACCTTCCATTTCTCTATCTTCCCTGAGCAGCACCAACCCAGAAGCGATCCGCTTCGGGGTTCAGAGCTGTCAGATTGCAGTTGGGATAAGATCAGATGGAGTAGTCTTCACTCGATCTACAATAGGGGTCAAGTAGACAATTGAACTGCTATCCTGCACCTCTACAGCAATGTGCAGGGAGCAATCTCACTGTACCTAGTAGGTAGAGGCTAGAGCAGTGGTTTTCAACCTTCCTAATGCCGTGACCCTGTAATACAGTTCCTCATGTTGTGGTGACCCCCAACCATAAAATTATTTACCCAGTAATTATAATTCATGAGTGTTGTTTTACCTCCAATACTGCTGCTTTCAACACAGTAGCTGCTTTTAACAGAGTAGCTGCTTTCAACACAGCAGCTGCTTTCTACACAGCAGCTGCTCTTTACACATCGGAAATGTGTGTTTTCTGATGGTCTTAGGGGACCCCTGTGAAAGGGTTGTTCGACCCCCAAAGGGGTTGCGACCCACAGGTTGAGAACCACTGGGGTAGAGGATGGAATTAAATTCTGTATCAGTGGGGTCAGCAGCATCAGATCAAGGCTGAGGAGCACGTGTCCTGGGATCATCTTTAGCTAGTGCTAGTTACAATCTTGCCATTATCCAAGCAAAGAAAATGTGCTGTTTATCTATATTTGAAATATATTTTAAAAATATTCTTCCCAAATATATTGACATATTTGAAATACTACAATTTTATATTTATTATATATATACACACACACACACACACACACACACACACACACACACACACACACACACTGCATGTTGAAATGCGTTATTGGAAAATATATGAATATATTTTTAAAATATATTTCAAATATACTGTATGTCTTTAAAAAACACAAATCTATATTTTTGGAATTCATTTACAAATATATGTTAAAATGGCTTTTTTTATATGTTAAAAAAAAAAAAATTATATATATATATATATACACATATACATATATATATATATATATATATATACATACACCACACACACATATATATATATATATATATATATATACATATACACACACACACACAGATTTTTAACATATAAAAAAGCCATTTTAACATATATTTGTAAATTAATTCCAAAAATGTAGATTTTTAAAGACGCATAGATTTGAAATTATTTTTAAAAATATTTTTAATAGATTTTGTAATAAAAAACACACACACATAATAGACACACACATATATATATACATATACATATATATATATATATATATATATATATATATATATATATATATATATAGAGATATATAGATAGATAAATATATATAGATAAATATATAGATAGATAAATATATAGATAGATAAATATATAGATAAATATATAGATAGATAAAATATATATAGATAGAGAGAGAGAGAGAGAGAGAGAGAGAGAGAGAGAGAGAGAGAGATAAAAATATTGAATATGGCCAAAATTGTAGCATTTCAAATATATGCCAATATATTTGGGAAGAATAATTTTAAAAATACATTTCAAATATATTTTACTTCCATATGGGTAGCCATGCTGCTTGGAGACCAGAAGGAGGCACACAGTGTTACATGTGCTTCCATTTCCAGTCCCCCATTGTCAAAACTGACTCCCCAAGGGGAAATGCTAGATATGACTTGGGGAAACAAACAAAATAACAAAAGCAGTTTCACTTGCATTATCCTTCCCTCCAGCAAGCTTCCTCCCAGCTTCAAAACCGATCTGAAGCCGCTCATAGATCCCATGTCATCACGTACAATGCTGGAGCAGCAGGCCTACATTGTAACTGACGATGAGATGGGCGCACCGGCAACGCCAGAGAAAAGCGGCGTCTACCAGGAGAGTGAGGGATAAGGTAAGCAAGGCTGCATTCATACGGGTCTTTAATCACCGTGCAAGTCCCAGAAGCAAGAATCTACAGATTTGACAGCTGCAGGCACAGAGCCCATACACTGCAATGACAGGCTGTCAGTGGTCACGGCCATTTATGGCTGTTTGCACAGCCAGCAATTCCGTGTGGCAATCGAGCCTGGCCACACTGTGCGGCTAGGTTCTCTCTCCTGCAAGGTAACTTTAGATTTTACACATCTTTTAAAAAAGACAAAGAATCAAGAAAGTCAGTTGGGGAGGCAGCAAGTGCAGAAGGAAAACCCTAGCAAGAAAAAAATATAAAAACTTAGCAGGAAAGCTTAAAATTGAACATTTGCCCAATAGGTCATTTTATAGCCCAATGCAAACAAAAAAAAATTGCTTCAAGAGAAAATAGTGGTGGATAGTTAAGTGGTGTTTTTTTGTTGCGCGATTGATCCCAACCCCATTCTACTCAATTCTTGCCCAATTTCAAAGTAAAATCAGCCAAATGTCATCAAGGCTCTAACCCCCAGTGCCCAACCTGTGGTGCAAGGGCCAAACGCAGCCCCTTCAGATCTACTCTGTGGCCCTCAGCAGTCAGTGGTAGAAGAAAAGATAAAAATGGATGTAAATGACCATGCTGTCTAGCAGTCTCCTGTAGTATATCTATAGTCTCCAATCACATGTGTTGTATTTCTGCAGTCTGACAGTTTCTTGTAGCAGTATATACTGTATATTATTTTTGAAAGGTTCCTTGGTGATGCTAGGGGCCACAGTTATTTATTTCAGGTACTTGTATAGCGCCATCAATTTACGCAGCGCTTTACATATACATATTGTACATTCACATTGGTCCCTAACCCTCAAGGGGCATACAATCTAAGGTCCATAACTCACATTCATACATACTAGGGCCAATTTAGACAGGATCCACTTAACCTACCAACATGTCTTTGGAGGAAACCGGAGTACCTGGAGGAAATCCACGCAGGCACAGGGAGAACATCTAAACTCCAGGCAGGTGGTGCCATGGTTGGGATTCGAACCAACTACCCTAGTACTGCCAGGCAGAAGTGGCAGTTGAGGCCATCTATATTACATTTTTTGTTGACCAACCCATTACTGGAGTAGAGCTTTTATAAAACAATTTTCTATCGAAGATTGCTGCCTCGGCTCCAACACACTATGGCCTCTCTGAACAGCTCTCAGCATCCAATTTACAAAAAAAAAAAAAAGTCTAACTGGCTAACTATTCCAGACTGTTACATCCAAGAGAACCAGGGAGTTAATTAAATAAGGACAACAAAGAGAATGGCTAACAAGATACACTTGGCAAATCCGCAGCCCATTTACCGAATACAGTCCATTAACATTCTCCCCGCAGTGCAGTGGCTGCTTAGCGCAAACCCTGTGGGTTGGTTAATTGCTCTTCTAGTGATTCTGGCCAGCCTCATTTATTTCATTAGCCTCGTTCAACGCTTGTCACAAGGTATAAAGGCATTGCAGTTGTAGGTTTGGAACAGCCAAGCCGGCCCACGGTTCGTTATATAACCCCATAATGGAGATTTCCACTTTATCTGAACTTCGTCCAATCTCCGCTCTCTAATTAAACATGGATCCTGCACTCTGTAGACATGAGGTTATGTCACTATATCCTCACGGGGTTTGTTCCTCCTCCTCTATCAATAATGTGAACCTTTCAGTAACTTTAAAATTTATGGAAAAGAAAAAAAATTAAAAAATGTACAACAGCAGCAAAAAAAAAAAAAAAAAAAAAAAAAAAAAAAAAAAAAAAAAAAAAAAAAAAAAAAAAAAAAAAAAAAAGAAAAAAAAAAAAAAAAAGGCTTTGATCATCCAAAATAAGTCTTTGAGTTCCAGTCCGGTGATGTTGCGTCAGTCTACTACAGGCAGAAGGAAGCATTTCTCCTCCCAGTGTGTCTGATTAGAAGGCAAGTTTAGAGGTGCTTTAAAAATATGTGGTTGAGCCACATTTTTAGCATCCCCCCAACCACACCCCCTCCCCCCTAAGCTGCAATGGCAGCAGACGAGGAGGTTCACATGTCACAGCAAAACCTACCCAATTCATTGCGACCAGCAAGCCCACCAAACATGACCCATTCAAGCAAATGGGAACATGCCTCTAACTCCCCGCAATTGCATGCAATGCGCAATTTTGTGGCACATTTGTGCAGCAAAACGGTGTTAAACAGGCAGTGAGGAGGTGTTGTGATGCAGATTGTTCTTCAGAGGAGGAGCAAGTTAGACCCATTTAAAATGTAGACTGCAAGTCACAAGGTGAGAGTCTGCAGCAGGGGCTGACGTGTGTCAGACATAGCCAGGTACTGTACAGGGATCAAGAGTTTACATGGTGGCATCTCTGGTCAGGAAGCAGATACAAATGCTGTGCCAGAACAAAGATGGTTCCACCCTTCCGGAAAGAACAGCAGATCATGGCATTGTAAGGAATCTCAGGGGCGGACTGACCATTTGGAAACTCGGGCACTGCCCAAGGGCCCGGGGTCAGCAGGGGGCCCCATGAGATGCCCTCGGTACCTTTTTCATAGGCCTTTTTGAGTTTGGGCGAGGACACAGGGGTCCCATGATCCCCTATTGCCCGGGGGCCTCATGAGTTGTCAGTCCACCCCGGGTAGAGGATGGAGTACTGATTTCTTATGAGAGGTAATATCTACAAGGGCTAAACAGGGGCTGGTCACACTGTTGCATTGTAACATGCATGCCAAGGCCTTTTTCACGCAAGCCGATGACATGCGTGCCCCATGCAGGGCCATGTTTTGCCAGCACAGGGATGCACGGGTGTTGCATGCACCTCCGTGGTGGCGCCCTCTTGTTTATTGGGACACACAGCTGCTGTGTCCCAATATGACATCTACATGGGTGCGGGTCCCTGAATGCACACAGGCTGAATTTGGGGACATGCGCCCATACCAACACAAATGTAATATTGGGACACAGTGACTGTCCATGCAGCCATGTCTCCCAATAGCCAACGGGACACCATACACTGCCTTGTACCCCATGTTAGGCATCTGTGAACTGCAGTGCCATTCATTTTCATTAGCAACCCAATGCACTAAAGGGAATACAAATGCAAAAAAGGAAGCCAATTTGTGAATGGACCCTTTATACAACATACTTAAATCTATTGCGATTGATGCTAGTTTTTTTTTTTTTTTTTTTTTTTTTTTTACAGTCTTCCTGCTTATGAGTAGGCAGGCAGATTAAATCAAAGTAGCAACACTTGTGATTTTATGTCAAGTATTTAGATTTGTAATTTGCTCACTAATCAGTTTACATCGCACCCAATAAACAACTCACCAGGTAAAGTTCCCACATTCATGAGATGACATCCTGTTGATCCAGTGGTTTTATTTAGGTGAATCTCATTTAAACTCATAGACTGTCATTAGGCAAAAAAAAAAAAAAAAAACCCCCCAAAAAAAAAAAAAAAAAAAAAAAAAAAAAAAAAACCCCCCAAAAAAAAAAAAAAAAAAAAAAACAACTTCTGATCGTGAATGCCTTTCATGGTGGAGCACTTTGGATGCACTTTCTAACCTACCCAAAGTGATTGTCACCTTAAAACTAGTTGCAGATGGATGGATACAAAATAAACAAGCTTGAGGTTCATAATAAATCAACGAGGTCTCATTTCATACCCCGCAAAAGGCCTGAGTGAATGGGCAATGCTATAAAAGTTTGAGAAGCACATAAACGTTAACTATTCTAAAGGTAGGGTAATTCTCAGGGTCTCAATTATTGGAGAGAAGCCCACTTGCTTATTAGTGGCTCTTCCTTTACAAGCACCAAGATCATATAAATGATATCATTTGCACTGTAATCATTTCAACAGTCCCTCATTTTACAGTCACATCCTGACTTTACAATATCCGGAGTTCTTCTTAAAGCCAGTGAAGACTGGCATCATGGGAACTTGCTGTAAAGCCCAGGGCAGCTTTTAAAGAGGTTGCTTAAATATGCTACAGACAAGTGCTGAGTAACAAAGAGGTCTTTATTCCGCTGCCCAAGGTCAGAATTGCTGCCACACTAAAGCGGCTGGTGCCAGCTGCAGTTAAAGGAAATGTTACAGTTCCCTCTGGAAATTCACACGGATGAAGCATGCTGTGTGTACAGTAGGGAAACAATGGCCTTATAGGGTAGGTGCCATCCGCCCGTCCCTTCTCCTCCCTTAACAAAGAGGTTAAGTATGAGAGACATAATAGCACACCATGGGCACCAAACTATAGAGGCAGATGTACTGCCTTGAGTTTTGAATGTGTTATATTGCCTAAATACAATACCAGGGCATAGCATAGAAACTGCATACGTTAGTGGTGGTTCATCTTTTTAAATTTAGAGGGCCTAAAGTGCAGCTCCAGGACACAGTCCGGGGCTGCCGCCGCGCTCCAGCAGACAGGGTAGGGGCCGCCCTCCAAGAGACTGGCAGGGGCCCCGCCGCCGCTCCCTCCAAGAGACTGGCAGGGGCGCCCGCCGCCGCTCCCTCCAAGAGACTGGCAGGGGCGCCCGCCGCCGCTCCCTCCAAGAGACTGGCAGGGGCGCCCGCCGCCGCTCCCTCCAAGAGACTGGCAGGGGCACCCGCCGCCACTCCCTCCGAGAGACAGGCAGGGGGGGGGGGGGCTTCCGCCGCCCTCCGAGAGACAGGCAGGGGGGCCGCCACGCTCAAAGAGATGGTCAAGGGCCGCCGCCACGCTCAAAGAAATCAGCCCCTGCTGCAGCCTTTCACACTGTAGCTTGTTCTATTGTTCCAAGGCAATAGGTCAGATAAAAGGCAGTAGTTAAAGTGATAAAATGTTCATATTGTCTGATGCACCCAAAGTTTCCCCACTAGGGCTGAAGGAGATCTAAATGGGAGCCAAGCATACTCAGTCTCAACATACCTACAGCATCCAAAACTCCTGCCTGGTGGAGTTAGGCATTTTGTATTCTACAGGCAGAATTGGGCAGAGCTTATAAAAATGCTTAACAGCTAGCTTAAAATTAGAAGACTGTTCAAAACTAAACTAAAAGTGACTTTTTTTTTTTTCTTTTAAATAACCAACATGTTATACTTACCTGCTCTGTGCAATGGTTTTGCACAGAGCAGCTCCGATCCTCCTCCTCTGGTCCCTCACTGGTGCGCCTGGCTCCTCCCTCCACCAGAGTAAGCAGCTTTCTATAGGGGCAGTTGCAGAGGCTCATTCCTAAGCCAGCTCTGTGTGTCCATAGAGCACAGCTCAAGTCTATGGAAATGTGGCTATTGCAATGCAAGATAAAAGTAAGTATAGAGTGCACCATAAAGGGGTGGCCCTTTGCAGAGACACTATCACTTTGCCCAGATGGACAAGGTGGCAGTGTCTTGTATTTGGGCACTCCCTATCACCCAGTGTGGCAGTAAGCGCAATATTCCCAACATACATGTACCTAAAAAGTCTGTAAATGGGTGTTACAGCGACCACTGGCTGGAGACCAAAGCCATTCAAAGTGATAAGTATATCACCAACACACCGGGGATCTACGGAGCAGGTCAATAGCTTAAGTGACACACGAACGATGAAGGGGTCCCGTGAGGCTCTGAAATGTTGCTTTTGATCACTGAATAAAGCTTTAGACCTGTTCTGTAGATCCTTGGTGTACCGGTGACATACTTCTTGCTTTTATTGCAACCTTTCAGAACAAGACAGTTCAAGGAGTGGGATGGGGGAGCTGGCACCTACTCCCTCCATATCCTAGACGTTGGGAAGGTTGTAGGTATGTACCACATCAATCATTCCAACATACCTGATACTTGTACTTGAGGTTGTGTGTATGTGGTAGTTTTAACTGTAGTGTACTTGGAATAGCCCCCCAGATCATCATCGTCCATTAGCATGGTCTTGCCACTCACAGATGGTGCCGAGGTGTTCATCCCCGAATTAATGCCGGAGTCGTAGGTATAAGTCTTCTGCCACTCTGTGACCTTAATAGGCCGTTCCATTGTGTCCATCATCTCCATGCTGCTTCTGTGGGAAAAAAACAAAGCAAGATCAGACTGGGTCTGCGAAGGGAAGTTGTTACCTGGCAGGCTTTCAGTACAGGACTCTATGAAGGGTGCTAGTTACAGGGCACCATACCATGCAGGATGTAGCAGGGGTGCCATGCCCAAGAACCGGCATCACTTCTCAGAGCCAAGCAATGGTCGCCTCCTGCACCTAGAAGCATCTGTAAAGTAATAGCCATCCAGTTGTCACAACTATTTATATTAGTATTTGCAAAATGATTCACTACGAGATAGGTGGTACACAATATATTCTCCATGATCAGTTATAACAAGGATGTACTGTGAGGCAGGAACCGTGCTAACCTAATGCAGATCAACATAAGCCTCATGCTCCATACAAAGTCTATTTTTGCTCATCAAAACGTTCTTTATTTATCACGGTATCTGCATGTCTCACAGCTCTATTCCCTCACGGTTTACTCTCTATTATGGAAAACCCATTAGGCAAGCGTGACACCATCATTTAGTTCTGTAATGGCTTTGGCAGTTGAACAGAACTGGGAATTGTGGAGGAGATAGCTGTTACTCTCAAAGATCATAAAAAAAAAAAAAATAATAACACATGACGAAACGTGCAAGCAACCAATCAAATCTGCATCATTGGGTTTTGAGAATGCTAGGCCAACCGCTAAATACAAAGATAAAATACATAGTCTTATCTGCCAAGAGTTTTGAAACTGTCCATCCATACGCAGCTCTGAAACACAGCATAGCGCCTTTCTGGCAATACAGAAGATCAGATCTTTCGCTCTTGAAGTTGAGCAACACTTACAGGTCCTGTACCCCCCCCAGCCTGTGACTGGACAATGAAAGAAGAAGCAGCTCTCATTTCCATCAATAGGTTTCTGGCTACCATATGGGAACTGCAACACCGCTGGCTGGCATATTGTACTGCTTCTCCCTCTCCCAGTCTAATCTCTGCTGTACAGGGACTGCAAGGGGCTGATATCCAGGTAATTACACTGCTTATATTTTAGATGAAGCACATGACCGCTATAATAGGCATACGATGTTCGCTCTTCCATCAACCCCACTCTTCACTGAGAATCTGTTGGAGAAGCCCAAAAAAAAAGTCACCTATGCAATATTGCCCGTACTGTAAGCCATCAAGAAATGCACTGCAAGAAGCAAAATTATGCACCTAATACAGAGATAAGCTGGCCATACACTAGTAAATTTTTGTACACTAATTGACCTCATTAGCGGTTAGGCCTTTGAGTTTCCTTGTTGCTGAGGTTGAAAGCAAATTTCAATTTGATTCCAAAATGCAAAAAATGACCATTCTGCAAAAGGAAAACTTTTGAGCAACATTCTTCTAGTGCAGGGGTCTCCAAACTTTCTAAACAAGGGTCCAGTTTATGGTCCTTCAGACTTAAGGGAGGCCGGACTGTGGCCACTGGAATCAGAAAAGGTCCCAACGGCAGTGATTAGAAAATCAAACATTCCGCAAAGAAAAAAACTTTTAAGCAACATTCTAATGCAGAGGTCTCTAACTCTCTAAGCAAGGGGTCAGTTTACGGTACTTCAGACATTAGGGTGGCCAGATTGTGGCCATTGGAATCAAAAAAGGTCCCAATGTCAGTGGGAATAAACCATGCCCCATCATTAGTTTCAGTGGGAAGAATGGTTATTGGGTGTCATTGGGAGGGATTGTGCTCCATCATTTGCGTCAGTCGAGGCAATTGTCCCATTGTTGGTATCAGTGGATGAAATAGTGCCCCAAGGGCCGGATAAAAACAAACCCAGGGCCACAGTTTGGAGACCACTGTTCCAGTGTATGGCCAGATTATCTTAGGACCATTGTTGCGCTCAGAAGAGCCCACACATTCTAAACCATTTTTCGACAGATACGCGCTACAACTAGTCTTTATCAAAATCTCCATTTTGCAGGGAAATACGTTATTTGGGAAATGTTCAGCTGTTTTTAAAGAGCAAAAACACAAGAGCCACAAGCTATTTCCAGCTGCCGCTTCTAGTGGAAATGTTTTATGCAGAAGACAGCTGGTATCGAATGATTAAACAGGAAACAAACCATATTGAAGGGCAACTCTGGCAGGTACAGGGCAGCTGGTAAACTCGTCTTCGGAACTCTTCAATAGACAGCAAAGAGACATGTTAAGCTTTTCCACAAAGCCAAGCATTCATTGACGCGCTACGGATGGTAGGAACAGGGGATGTGGGATATTGATCTGTACAGACATAGCCTGAACTAGGATTTTAAAGCTGGGGACTGATTACGAAAATGCTTTGAATCAAGATTTTACACACACAGCAACAAAGCTAGTCACAGACGTCAGATGGTGGTCGCACGTTCCAACTTGATGACTACACCATAAATTATGTATGCATCATTGTCAAGGTCTCCAGGAAGGGGACTTAAAGAGACGTGTGCTGACAAATTATGCTGGGTGCTATTGCTGAACGCACCCAAAAAAACTAGTTTTCTGGCTTTCATTGCTTCAGAACTTTGAGTCAATGACCCAGGACAAGCACGCCAGCAGTAAATCACAAGACCTAGTCTTCATACTTGATCTAATATACAGTAGTAGATGGTGACATTCAACTGGAAAGCTGAAGAGATTTTGTAGCTTCTCCAAGCTTCGACAGCTCTAATGGGTGTCTAAGATACCACAGCATTTATATCCACACAGGTAGCACCACCCAAATGCAAACGGAAAGGCAGATCTTATTGTTTCAGAACTGAATGGGAGTGGTGGAAATTGTGGAACCACCCTGCTCTAGTTACATAATCCCCATCCTTGGTGTCAGGAAGGCTTTACAGATGGTAATCTTTTGATTTACATAGCTGAAAGTGTGAACTGTCAAAATGATGGGAGTAGAGATTCTAAAAGGGCATTATCTGTGTAAGACTGGACATCCTCTGCCTTTCCATGGTGACTGTTTCAAGGTGTCGGTGGTACCTGTGTGGATATAAAGGCTGAGGGATCTTCCTGGCTTAGTAGGCTACACAACAACTTCAATGTTACAGAACATGTCCAGTTGAATGTTACCAGCTACTACTATGACCTGGATAAATGAGAACCTTCAAAGACATATACATAATCTGACTTCATGACTTGGATTGCTGCAGCCATTGAATCAACATGGTTAAACAAGAGATCCACATTTTCCCCTTCGTTAGACCCAGTGCTGGTGTTAACATGGGAAAACATGGCCAACACGAGCTCACAATAGCAGCCACTATCTCAAATTTTGAACAATGGCCATTGCAACCCACAGCCACACAAAAGAATCAGCTATCCAAACCCAGCCAAAAGAGCCCAAATCAAGCAAAGAATCTCAAAATTATAGGTAACAGACTAGTCAGGACAGAAAAATGCAAGCTAAGAGGCCATCATCTTTATCCAGTTTTACTACTTAACACACGACCAGAAACCAAAGTATGCAAGCTGGGAGTACCAGCCTCACTGGCAGCACAAATCGGTCCAATTTGGGTAAAGGATAAGGATGACAGCACTTTTCTTGCTGTTAAATCACTTTAAATCTGTATACATCTTCAGGATATGCAATCTGTTCAAAAGCTCAATAATTTGGCAGTACAGGCATTAACAACAGCATGAGCAGTCAAGGAAACAAATATTCTGATCACACGTGTGCAAGATTACAGCACCACAACTGTTCACCGATTCCACTTTCAATGAGGGATCCGTAGTCATAGGTGGTCCCGACTATCACATGACCTGGCCCTCTAAGAAAAGGGTGATCCTCCACCAGGGGCGGATTGACAACTCATGGGGCCCCCGGGCAATAGGGGATCATGGGGCCCATGTCCTTGCCCAAATTCAAAAAAGCTTATGAAAAAAAAAAAAAAAAAAAAAAAAAAAAAAAAAAAAAAGGTACCAGGGGCATCTCATGGGGCCCCCTACTGACCCCGGGCCCTCAGGCAGTACCAGTTTTAAAAATGGTCAGTCCGCCCTGCCCTCCATTAACTACCAAACAGTACTACATTCTACACATAAACGTTTCCTTTTTACTCAGGACCTCCAACTACTAAGCTACCCAGATAATGCCAGCAACATACAACCCGCAATTTACAGAGGCTAATTTACGTCCTTTAAGCACAAAATTGTTCCTTAAAACTGCTGCAGGACGACAGTTTTTTTTTTTCAGCAGAAAAAGAAACGGAATGCTTTGCCAGGATGTGTCTGTAACTGAGTGAATAACTATTTAAACTGAGCTATTAAACTCCACATTATCATGGAGGGTCTATTCACACCAAGGCAATCCATTGTGGTGCATTTAACGCACAAAATGGCACGCATTAACATGCATTGTGTTAAGGGGATCCATTCATTATTAATGGGCAGTCAACCTAGAACAGAGGAAAAAAATAGTGCAAGGCTCTTTTCTTAACACACGGAGCTGCCATGCACTGTGCTCTACCGTATGTAGTGTACCCTGTGAGAGCCACTGGTAAACTTGTTATTCCCCTTAATTAACCCCTTCCTGCAAATAAACCCCCCCCCCCCCAGTTTAAGCCTCAAGTGGGACCTCGGTGTCTTCTAGATGGCACCTCCAGTATTCCTGCTCTTGAACAGGGGTCTCCTTAGGCAGGACTGGTCCCAGGCCAATTAAATGGATCGACATGCTGGGAGGCAGAGGCGAGCATTCCAATAATGTGACCGTTGTGATTGGCGGTCACATGATCGGAAAGCTTCCAATTGCAAGTATGCATCGGGAGCTTTCCGTTACATTAGTTGCTGTGCTGGGAGCGTGCTCCCCCCACAGTAAATATTTACAAGTAGATGAATATATGCAGCCATTTGGCCAAGAGGCCACATATATGCGCCATGTTGATAAGAGGTTAAAGCACATACAGCCAGGCACACAGAATTTTCTTCAGTCTTCCACTAGCTCAAATTAACAATCTAGGGGTGTCTTTTTGGGGGTTTTATTGGAACAATGAACTTGGATGGGGTAAAAAGGAGTATAGG